AGCACGACTCTTGAATAGTTGCGATAGCATTTCCTATACAAGTTGATTAATGCTGGTACTGTATATGTATATGTGTGTGAGGTACTCATTTGACCTAAGCATCTGGTTTGGTGTGTAATCATCAGTATTGGAGCAGACAAAGGTGGCTGGGTGTGGTACTGGTCACCTCACCTCCTCTTATGCTCACCGTATTCAGAGCATGTTAACAGCACTTTCCTACATGCCTGTACAGGGCATATTTTTCTTTGTCGTGTGTGCATATATTTCTGTTGTGTGTGTGTGTGCTTGTGTGTGTTCACTCTCATTTCGCTCATGAAGTGTTTTCCGTTTATATTAATTCATCTGGAATGCATGGGCACCCATACATTGGTTTCGTCGTAAACTAATAACTATATTTCATTTTGGTGTTATGTGCGTTGATTTGAATATAGAGTGGGTTTCTTTCGTAGTCCATGAATAAAGCAACAAATGTGACAATTTCTCAAACGAGTGCTGTGGGCAGATGATAGAGGACTAAACCAGCAGCCTTGGGATTACGAGTGCATTGGGATGACGAGTGCATTGGGATTACAGGTCACTGCTACTCAGCCGTTGGGTGTGTCCCGGGGGTGGCTGTCATTGCCCGAGAGAACCAAGATATTTGCAGAATCAGCGCGGGAGTCGTAGTACGGTACAGCTGTTTCTTGAGCTCAGTTATTGAGTCAACCTTAATGGTAGCGTGTCACATGTTACATGTCAGTCCACTGCTGGATGAAGGTCTCGCCACGCTTTGGTTTTGTGAACAGGACAGTGATATTTTTAAATGTACCTATGTTCAATGAGAAAACGTACATTTGTGTCATTTGTGTCATTTGTTCACGTGAAGTCCTGGTCACAAAAGCAAAGTTCCTGGGGAATAATAGCCATTTTCTATACTTTTGAGGCATAAGCAATTACAAAATAACACTTACTACCCAGGAACAAAAATCGTGTTACATAGTAATTATATTAGGTAATGACACAATTTAAATGTATCTAGCTACTAACTGCTGCTGTATTTCTCTATGTGGAATGCACTGGTGACGGGGAGAATTGCATAAATATGTACATTTATTTAAGACTAAAGCAGGAGGACTTCTCCACAACTCTGGTTGTCCGCCGAAAGGTCGTACTTCGCTTGTAAATGTTGTGAGTTTTACTTTCCAACACAGGGGTGTGCTGAACTAGTAACGAATTGGCATGCTTTGTTTACGTGACAAACTTTATCAATTTGCTGTGTCCGGTGGTGACGGGGTTAACGATACATTTATATTTACATGATCTAACCCCAAAAAAATATATTATAGATTATATTGGTCGCGAAAGCCTACTACGTGTCAAACTGTACATTTCTATTTGAGGGGCTAGTCATACAGTGGAGAAGAGAAAAGTATTGAGCCTGGACATCAATGTGGGAAGAGAGTTTGCAGGACAGAAGGCTGGGGTGGATGGAAAGGGATATAGTACTTATATGAATGACAGAGGAGGTAAATGTATAATAATTAATTATTTCAGAATAGGTTTTCTCCTTTTTTCTGTGCTGCATTATATTGTTTCCAAATTTTACTAAATCTTGTTCGATTTGATGTGCTTCTCCATCTCTCTTTGTCCCCCCTACATGCTAAGGCCTCGGCACGGAGACCCAATCTCTCTGTGCTCCATGCGTTGTGTCTCTTTGTGTCTCTGTGTTAACGCCCTGTGATTAGGTGTCTATATATATCTGCGGTTCTGTGTTTCCTCTCTCTCTTAAATTTAGCTCTTCTATGCCTGATGATGATGATTGCTTGCGCTGCAATCGAAACGTCGTATGCTATTATGTAATTTTATTATTATTTCTTATTTCTACGTGACTTTACCGAAAAAACGAAAGAGTAATTCCTGCAGTCACGAAAGCACCAAATCAAGTTTGAACAAAACAGCTGTGTTAAGATGTTAAAACACCAAACTGAAACCTTTTACAAGGAATCACGCCTGCATTAACCACAATACTTGTGGTCAGAATGCAAACAAAAAACATACTCTGATAATATATGGCATTGTCTTTGAAACTGATTGGTCCACACCAGAGACAGTTTTCTTTCGAGCCTCGTCTCAAACCGTGTTAGACCAGAGGACGCCAAAAGGCGAACAGCACAAAGACAATGCACTATCAGAGTAGTGAGAGCTCGGGGTGAGCATCTACATCATGGGACCTCCTTTTCCAGTACCAAAATATGAGAATAGGTTTTTTTACTTTATTGTGGTTAATGCAGACATGATTCCTTGTAAAAGGTTTCAGTTTGGTGTTTTAACATCTTAACACCTGTTTTGTTGCCAGAAAAAAGGAGAAAACCTATTCTCATATTTTGGTACTGGCAAAGGAAGTCCCAAGATGTAATTAATTATTTACCCAGCAAGACATTTTGAGTCCAAGGTCTTTTTAGGAGGATCCTGCATTGTACGTTTTATATTTAGATGTTTTCAGCCAATTATGCATGCGGGAGGAAACCGGAGCACCCACAGAAAACCCACGCATGCAATGGGGCAACAATCTATTCCAAATAGACAGGACAGATGACATTAGTCCACACCTGCTGGTACCGCCTTCTCCTCGTATGCCCACTAGGAGGGGAGTTACGGTACAACGTGTGTTCCACCAACCCTGTCACCTCCACAGTGCTGTATTATAGATGTGCGTGGCCACCAATGGCAGTTTGCGATGGCTAGAGACAGATATGTGGTTGGGGGAGATTTGTTGACGAAAAATGTGACCTTGTGAAGATTACAGGCTAATGGCACTAACCTCCCTTCCCTCATGACGTGTCATTGCCTCTGCCTGTGCAAAGTCCACTCTTAACATGTTTCGCCTGCCCTGGACTCTGAAACTAAATGAGCAACAAATAAGCCTTTTTTATGATAGTATCTCAGACCGCAGGAACGTTGCTGATCTGACAGTAAATGAGCCAAACGTGGGCGGTAACCAGGAGTATGATGCACGCAAGAATGTGTTCAAGAAATGATGGACGACAAATCGAGGTCATAATTGGCGCTGTTCATTTTGATTCAGCAGATTCCTCCTCACAGATATTTTTCTCATCTGCAGTTTAGAAGAAAAATGTGTTGGCTCCACTAATGTAGGTCCTCACATGACAGTTTGGCTAAACACAACTTTATTGACATTGGAATGTCCCCCATACACATTGTTTATGCTTCTTCGATATAATTGCTGATCTGATGAAAGATAAAAATGAATTGGGATATGAAGATTTTTAAAACTAGTGTGTGTGTGTGTGTTTGCTTTATAACAGATTTTGTTTGTTTGTATTAATTCGACAAAGTTTACAACAAAAATGTCAATAGGAAAATAAAAACCCAAATTTAGATTTCAAAAAAATCTCGAGCGTACAACATAATAGGCATGTTTTATATTATAAAACCATTATTATAGGAATGTGTTTCGTGCCTGGTTTAAGGTCTGCTGTGTACTTGACAATAAATAATGCAATGGTTGTTTTAACAGCAATGTAACGTAATAACATTTGATTTCGTTACATTTTACCACACTGATAAACTCTCAAGTGTATTGAAAGTCCCTTGTGAACCCACTGCTGGATGAGAGCCTTTCCACACTGGGTTAGTAATGGGGGCTTGTTTGACCATACTTCACCACGCTGGCAAATGTTGCGTTGATAAAGGGTAGTTCATGTATTATATGCCACTGATGTTATCTGTGGCAAGGACTCAAGGAATGCACATTTAGAAACGTGCATTTAGATTATTTGGCTGATGTACATTTTCACATGATAAGCCACTTCGATGAGCTATCATTTGTGGCCAAGTGGCTTCTGAAAGAGAAGGAATAGCTCGGTGTGCTTTCCTGAACCTCCGATTAGCATGGTTGGTTATGTATGGTGCGAAAGAAGTTCGACATGTATAGATACTTGGTAAAAAGAAATATAGTTTGGTTGTAGTTTATTATTTTATTTATAGCCATTTGCTTACCTTTCCTCTACTTGTTTTGTATTGTTGTGTAAACCTTCTGACCCGCCCCTCCGAGACATCTGTGAAAAAGAGCTTCATAGCTCATCAGATTTCTCCAAGGATGAATAAAGATTCTGATTCTGAAATTCAGGTTGCTGGGTTCATAGTACAGTTTAATGTAATTATAGAAACCCTACTAAAATAACTATAAGAAAGTATGACTGCATCTTATTAGCGATCTCCTCTCTTAGATGGGGAGCCATTACTTTGTAAAATTCAATCAGTTGATGAGGAGAAATTTAGAGGTTTATTAGAAATCAGTGGGATATCTATACATGGGAGTACCACGTATATATATATTTGGCTTACACAGTATTTATTGAGTCTCGCTTTGGAATGAAAGAACAGTTTTAAATTTGCAAGGAGAGAATCGTTTCTCTGCAACGAAAAACAAGAGACAGTTGTCGTTTTCATACTCATCTCACAATCCTGTACTCGTAGCACTAAAATGTATCTGTTTTTTACGTAATAAAAGGCCAACATAATATTCTTGTAGGGTTGTTTTACATTCTCTAGGATTTTAAGAATATTATGGTGAAAGAATGACATTAAAAGGAGCGCAAATTGAAAGGTTAGAGCAATTTTAAATGAACCGTGTCAGTCCTTCTATATTCATTACTCCTATTTCTTTGGTGTCGCTATCTGTTATGTCTCCCGAACCTCTTCCGCTGCTTCAATGCAATGATTATTTTTTGCTCGGAAAATCCTGTTTAGCCAGTTACCCAGCTAGTTTTGGTGACAACTGCCCACAGCCATTAACAACAGAATTACTGTTGGGGTGGAGAGGAGCCCAGCCAGCAGCCAGCCAGAAAACTCGAGGAATGGATTGTTTTTAAAAAAGTAGTATGATTGTTGGTAGTAAGACGTTTTACCCCAGTATTGAGCCCACTTCCTTGGGGAGGTTTTTAAACATGTTGTCCCCGTCTGCTTTGTTAATCCGCACGGGCCGCTGCCGGCCACAGGTTCGTGACGCGCTTCATCGAGCTGGATGGCCTCTCCTGCCTCCTGAACTTTCTAAAAAAAATGGACTATGAGACGGCCGAGAGCCAGATCCACACATCGGTCATCGGCTGCATCAAGGCCCTGATGAACAACTCACAGGTAGGTCTGCCCAGGCGGGCAACCTCGCACACCCCACCATGCCACCGCATCGCCCACGTAACAGCCGACTGTGAGCTTCCTGTTTTGTTTCTCTCTTGTGGCATTCTTTGCAAGGTTTGTTTGCAGTCTTAAAAGGTTCCCTTACGTCTTCTTCTACTTTCATATGCCATATTAAGAGCAACTATACGAGATTTGACTTGTGAGTGATTGAGCCATTCAATTGCTTTGTCTGAAAAATGTGTTGAATAGCAAACACCAAAGACGTTTCTAGTTTACATATCAGGCAGTGGAGCTCTTGCGGTGACCATGAAGTGTGTTGAACAATCTATTTGAAGTGCAGTGCCTCATATCCGGCTGTCACATGTGCACCCTGACCAATCAGTGCAGCTATTCGTCCATGTTGTAACTGTTAGTTTGTATAGATGTTCAAACTCTTCCCTTTTCATGTGCAATTATGTATTCTTAATGTCACGTACATGTGCTTACTCATAAGCATTTCCCCACGTTTAAAGCAGTTTAGGCTTTTTTTTGTCCAGTAACCTGTGCCTGGTGATGTAACTGTGATTTTCTATTGTCATCATCAGACATGTTATATCCACTAGTGGATGTAAGCTTCCGCACACCATCGTCATCCCTCAATGGTCCTGCGATGCTACAATCCATCTCACTCTTGTACAAGAACCGATCTCATTGCTCCATCTCCACAATGATTGTTCTCTCAGGCGCATTCACCACTTTGGCGACCATTTGGTCACCAGCCTCATCCATCGGCAAGCAGTCCTTTCAGCCATGATGAGGTCTGCCCAAGCCCATCCATGATCCATAACAATTAAAATGATGTCTTTGATTGGTGCTTTTACCCTGATCCAAGTGTTACTATTCGGTCTCTGAGTGTATATCTCCGTGATTATGTGTGCACATTTGAAATTACAATTCCCAAAAGAAGGTAAGGGCACGACTGTTGCAGAGATGGAGTGATGTGATCAGCTCTTGTGCAGGTGCTGGAGATATAAGGGATGGTGACGATTTGGAGAGGCCTTTTTACAACAGTGAATAAACCATGGCTGCTGATAATGGTGATGAACTTTACAAATATGGTTTCTCTCAAGCTGTATAACCTCCTTGAGTATCATATAAATACATACGAAAATAAAACGTGACTTTGAATGAAGGTAGGGTATAAGCAGGTTGACACTACACAAGGAGTTTGACGTTAAAACGTTAGCGTTATGAGACTCAGCTGGGCTATGAGAGCTGTTTGAGCAAGGGGGTACCCAAACGCGTATCTTACAAAGGTCATGTAAACACAGAGAAGACACTAGACCTCACCCGTTCCACACAGTCCACTTCCCCCTAACATAAACACGGATGATTTACCAGACATGCTGTAAAGTTAAATGTCACTTGAACACAATCACGAACTTGCTCAATCAGTGGTCCACGGAAGACTGTACTTTGATTTGTGTGTGTGTGAATAGTTCCAGATTGCAATAGGTGAATCTCAGAATGCAGTAAAGTATTCTAGTAATCGAAAGCAGTGCCTTGGTTTTCTCTGGGAAAAAAAAAATACTGGCCTTGTGCACACTATGAGGGCACAACACAAAGTAAATAGGTTCAAAAGTTCAGCAATGGAAGACAGCATAAAGTATGTGTGCTGAACTTCTTTCGCACCATATGTAGCCAACCGTGCTAATCAGAGAGGCGGTTACCAAGCCAAGCTCGTTCTTATCAGACCATCACTGGTCGTCTCGATACAGGTACAACAATTCACCCGACTCGTGATCCAGCGAATTGTCACAGATCAAGATAATGAAAAAGTTCAATAAGCCATTTTATTTTTTTATATTTTGCTAAATTGTAGTGCCCTCCAGTGGCTGTGGGGGCGATGTCAGCCAATTACATACACCTTCATTAAAACGAAGACACTGACTCGCACGCACACATTTCAATTGCGAGCTTAATAAACGGATTTAAATCAATGGTGCAATGCATCGTTAAACCACTGATTGATACAGATGTTGCTCCCGTTGGGTAGCAGGAGATTTAAAAAAAAAGTTTTGAGGACACGGTATCATCAAATTCCAAGACAATAAAGAAATCTAGAATATTAATAATAATATGAAGCATCTGTATGGGGACTGAAAATTGACTCGTGGTATTGAGTTTTTTTATTACAATACATTTGCTAGATGTTAATGATTTCAGAAGGGAGGCCCCAATGAGCTGCTACAGTATATAGGTTCTATTATCATGGGCGTCCTGGGACGGTACAGATGTTGTACAGTACGAATCTTCGTTACAATCTCTGTTAAATAGGTCGCGATACAAACAGCAAGTATCGGTATGTGCTTCACATGTTACAATCATAGGAAACTGGTCAAAAACGTAAAAATAATATTATTGCGACATCGAATATCCGACTGAGGACTTGAGGTATAGGCAGATATGTGAAAATGTTGGATATGTGAACCCTTATAGAACGTAATCTAGATTTTAAGTTTTCGTGACTGCAGGGATCCATACTCTTTAGTTCTTTCGGTAAAGTCACGTAGGTATAAAATAAATTAAATCACGACGTTTCGGGCGCAACACAAGCGTCCATCATCAGGTGGGACAACCACGGCAAGAAACAAATGCTGAAGTGGGCAAAAGAGGTGCTTGTGTCAAGGGGCTATATAGGTACGTGTAGTAGTTTAAGCAGCATGAAAGGCAACACATTATAGTGTGTAACTCACATTACATGTATCTGGGAAAATGTTTTATTATTGATTAATGCTATTAACTTAATGGCCATTTAACATGATTGTTGTCAGGCACTGTGTATGTGATGCCTAGTGGAGAGGGTTTTATTGCCATGAGCTACCCACTAACCCCGCTGCCTGAATTTTAAATGTTGATAAAAAAAATAATCCAGCACAACAAGTGTTTTCCTGAATACAGAGTACTTTATCAGCCCACACTCACAAGCATGGTGAAGCATGGTCAAATAATTGCCTATGATCCACAGGACTTCCCCCTCTATCCGAAATATATATATAATCGTATTAAATGATACAATATACATTTGTTGTATGTCTTCTTTGGTTATTTCGGTAAAGTCACGTAGAATGAGAATAAAATAATAAATTGATAAAATAAAATAACACAATAATATTCTCACGACGTTTCGGCCACAACACAAGCGGCCTTCATCAGGTGAAGGGACGAGACTGTCTGGTAGGACAGCGCTGGAGTGTATAGTTATATTTATTTAATGACAGCTGAAGAACACAGGCATCAATATTTTGCTTAATACTCTTGAACTATTCTGACCTTATTGCATCAATGCCCGGAGAAGGGAAATCTATTCCAGCAATTTATCCCTGTCTAGATTGCCTATTTTCTATAAACCTGCAAGGTCATTTCAAATGTATTGGGCTTTGTGAAATCTTAATCCCACTGAGATTCATTCGCAGTTAGCAAAGTCGTGTACAGTATTCTGTGACAAGTTCCAGCAGCGTTGGTTTCTATGCAATATTAGTGGTTTTCTGATAAAGCCAAGTAAATCCATGTGCAGCTGATGGCATTGAAGCAAAAGCCTTCGTTGTCCTGTACTTCTATACTCCCGTAACTGTGTTCCCCGCATTTATTGAACAAGACTGGCCAGCGTATGGCCAAATAACCCTCACAACCCACACAGTATGTTGGAGGCTTTCACACCGCCAAATAGCATGGTTGACTATGTACGGTGTGAAAGAAGCTCAACATGCATACATCCAGCAGTTTATTAACAGTGGTCTCATATATGTTCGTGTTTCAATACTTTTGAACTCTGTTAAGCTATGGGTGGTTGCTTGAGTATTCATTTTGTAAAATAGTCGCACACATACACATGGAGTTCCAACGCTTTCGTAATTGTGAACTCCTTGTTCAGGAAGCAGAAGTGTGGGGATTTTTATAAACTGCCCAGGAAAATCCGCCAAACTGTACACTTCTTGCCGGTAAACAACGCATCATTGATACAATGCACGCGATACATTAATACACAACTCTTCTGGGTGTGATTTAACTCCCGTCTTCACGTGCATTGTGAACATTTAAGCGTGCGAACAACACTCTGACGTGGTCTCTGACTGCACATAAAAAAAAGGTTCGGACAGAGGGGGAAGTCACAAAATAGTACAAATAATAACAATTCGTCGAATTATAGAAGGCGCAACTCTTAGGTTTTTCCCCAAACTTGTGACGATGCCACGGCCAGCCTCTTAGGCTAGAAATCCTGTAGTTACTCCACACACTCCCAAGTCTGACACCGGGATCAGCAGCTGTTTAAAGAAACACACTCTTCCTCAAGGTCATTCGTCTCCAACCGGCTCTGCCCATCAAGTGCGAACGTAGGTTTGACCGGTTGTGTGAGTTTTCACGGTTGTGCTGTGCATTGCTCTCAGATGTGTTGTGTTCAGGCTGTTGTCGCGTGTTGTTCGGTGTGATGGGAGCTTCGATTGCTTCGTCAGTTCCCGAAGGAGCTCCCAGCAACGTTGACTGAAATGCCATTATTCAGAACAAAAAAAGATAAAGATCCCCCGTATAGCCTTAACAGACTGTAGGGGCAAGTGCTGTTAGTGAGCACCTACGAAGGCCGGCACGGCACACGAGGGCGTGGGTGGCCAGCACCACGCCCGACCGCCTTAGTCTCCCCAGTGGCGATGTTTTTATCCACTGCACCAGGTACTCATTTGAGGCTGAGTTGACCCAGGGGAGGCCCGGGACCGGTTCAGAGAATCGTCACTGGTGTTGGCCGTGAGCGCAGCGTAGCGCTAACCGCTGCACTAAACTTTACTTGTAACACGCTGTACGATCCACGTCTTGTTCTGAATGCGGGACTGGACTGTGTTATGTTAGCGCAGCAATTTGTTGTAATGATGAGGAAATCGGTGGTTACTCCTGCCTCTTTCGACATTCATGGCGAGATACGTGGTGTCGGGTGCACCTTGACGTTCGCAAAAAAAAACAAAATATATTTACGCACGTGAATTCTTTCACCGTCATGTAAGTTCCTCTCGTAAAGAAATGTGAGTTGGCTTGGGCAGGACACGTGTCGCTAGACGGGATGATGACCGGCGATTGAGAGCAACCACTGAGAAAGAGGCAGCCAAAGAGGAGAAACAACGGGAGATCACCTTACCCCCACGGAGATGGAGCAATGAGACCGGCTTGTGTGCAGGTGCTGCTGCTGATGATGATGATTCATAACTGGTACTTAATAATACATCATGTGCTGTAGCCAGCCGATGTCAATTCAGAAATTGATTCTGTGAATCGGTCTGTATGGAGCTTAGAATGCACGTGCCGGTTTGTTTGAGTACCCATACAGAAATAACGAAGCATACGCTCCTGAAAAAGTCTGGAGACTCAAAACAGGTCCCTGCAGGGTGGGCTGGTAGGACAAGTCTCTGCGCTGTCTATTGCTGATTTTACACCCAACAGCACGAGATTTCACTTCGTTAAAGTATTGAAAGGGGACGGACGGACGGACACATTAATCTATTGCAGGCTGGTACACTCAGTTTACAACTTCGTTCCTACCAGTATAAAGTGCACCATTACTTTGAGCTCTAACACAAGCAGAAATGCAATTCATACAAATTCAATAAAAATGTATAATGTATTGCTATATTGTAATAGTGTACTGTAGAAGCCCTCTTAACGACGGTAATTCGTTCCACGAAATCGGTCGTCAAGCGAGTATAGAAAATACATATTAAAGGCTTAATTCGTTCTGATAGCATCGAAAAGTTACCCGTTTTCACCCAAAGAGCATCTTTATAATATTAAAACTATTGATGTTAATACATAAAGATACTAACAATATTATAAATACATAATATTAATAGAAGCATGGTTAATCCATGCATTAATGGATATTTACTGTACCTACAAGAGCCCGTCATTAACATGGGAATGGTCGGTAAGCGAACACATTGAGCTCTACGGAGGTCCGTCGTTAAGCGATTTGTCGTTAACAGGGGTGGTCGTTAAGAGGGGTTCTACTCTACACTATACACTACACTCTACACTACACTATACACTACACATTGAGCTCTACGGAGGTTTGTTGTTAAGCGATTTGTCGTTAACAGGTGTGGTCGTTAAGAGGGGTTCTACTCTACACTATACTCTACACTATACACTACACTATACACTACACTACACACTACACTACACACTACACTACACACTACACTATACACTACACATTGAGCTCTATGGAGGCCTGTCGTTAAGCGATTTGTCGTTAACAGGGGTGGTCGTTAAGAGGGGTTCTACTCTACACTACACACTACACTATACACTACACTATACACTACACTATACACTACACTATACACTACACATTGAGCTCTACGGAGGTCCGTCGTTAAGCGATTAGTCGTTAACAGGGGCGGTCACAAAGAGGGGTTCAACTTTATTATGAATGTGTGTAGTAAGCAACCAGTCTTTAAAATGAGTGGGATGAAAGAGATTTGCTTGTCCTTTGTTCTTCGTGGCTTCTGAAGAGAATACCAAGTTGGCATTGAGGCACACGCACAGCATTTCCTCAACCACTGAAAGTTGGGAATCTGACAACACCATAACCTGCAGCGGGAGGAACAACATCTCTTTCAACAGATGGCGTTGCTTGGAGATGGCTTTTAAAAGCGGGTGTTTTTGGCAGAACGGATCTTGTTATGTCTGAACATTATGACAGTTAAAGGTAACTGTATACGGCTGTCAGCCACAGGTTCATTGTTAATTTACAAATGTACATACTCATGGTGAAAATAATAATCAGGAATTACCCTGTGGAGCTGCGGTGCAGTGAGTTAGCGCACTCCACTATGAACCTAGCCACCTGAGTTTGATTCCCGGCCATGGCTAACATGAGCAGCGATTGATATCTGATCCGGTCCTGGGCATCCCCCCCCCTTCCTGCACGGACCAGCATGGTGAAGTATGGTCAAACGACTCCCATAACCGATGAGACATGGGAGGCGTTCATTTAGAAGTGTAAAGGTGAACAGCTTTGAATTGTTATCTATTTAATAATGTACCCAGAATCTACTGAGCTACACAGGACACATTTCACCGTCCGTTTATTCCTGCAATATTGTTTATGTCGTGAGAACGTATGTGTGCACGTGCATGACTTTGGTCATTTACACACGCGCCTGTGCTGAATAGTGAACTGTTCTGTGGATGTAGACAGAGGATCCTCATATAAATACTCTCGTGGCCTCCTGAGAGTCATTCCATCAAACAAGTAAATCACCACTGACAGACAATTCCTATGTAAACACTTAGAAATGATTCACCGTACCTTTAAATGTCCTTATTCCCTACGAGAAATGCTTTTGCTTAAAAATAATATGGAGCGGAACCCATTTCCACCAGCCCCAGCCCTGAGCCTGTGATGAAAATTCCACATTCCTCTCCCAGGGGCCAGTCTATCCGCAGGACGCGGACACTGACACACGCGCGCTGTGGGGGGGGTTGTGGGCTGTCTTCACAGGGCAGGGCGCACGTGCTGGCGCACCCCGAGAGCATCAACGTGATCTCGCAGAGCCTGAGCTCGGAGAACGTGCGCACCAAGGTGGCGGTGCTGGAGATCCTGGGCGCCGTGTGCCTCGTGCCAGGCGGCCACCGCAAGGTGCTGCAGGCCATGCTGCACTACCAGCAGCACGCCGCCGAGAGGACGCGGTTCCAGGTGCTGCACTCGCTCCCCCAACGCACTCCTCTCTCCAATCATTGGCTCGTCAACCTTGCCCTCGCCCTACGCTCTCCTCACCGTAGCCTCCCCTCGCCAACTCTCACCCCGCCAAGCTGCTGCTCAACAGCACTCCTTTCGCCAACCCTCTCCTCGCTCACCCCCCCCCCCCATCTCCTCACCAACCCTCACCATAGCCTGCCCACGCCAACTCTCCCCTCAAATACCCTCACCTCGCCAAATCTCCCCTCACATCATCAGCCCTCGCCTCCACCTTCCTCCCCTCGCCAAAACTTGTCTCGCACCAGCCCTCGCCTTCGCTGTTATGTTCTCACACAAATTTCACATTTGTTCAATATTACTTTTGGAATCTAAGTGTTGTACACGCTTGACCCTCTGATAAATTCACCCAGAATTTGGGGTTGAGCAAGCATGGGCGACCATCATGAGTTAAACAGACTGTTGCGGGGCTACATTGCAGCCATCAGACAGTGCAGCAACATCTGTTGTTGTAGTGTATTTTGCTCTTACGTCTATGATCCCCACCTTCACCAACCCACACTGACCAGCGTGGTGAATTATGGTTAAAAAAAAAAACCTGATTGCTGATGATGGCATGTGGAAGCCTTGATTCAGCAGTGGGTTCACAATGAACTGGATGTAGCATTCGTTTTATCCCAAACTTCTCTTGCAAAATAAATCTTCGTCTAAAAAGGGATTCAGGCCTGTCTTCAAATAAGATTGATTGATTGTGGTTGACATGGGCCCTGGTACAAGGAATAAAATGCACCACCCACCCTCTCCAATTTCCCCACTGTTTGTAGACCAGTGACTGGGCCTCTCCTAAGCCATGGGCCCCGTTAAGTTGCACCACCTGCATACTCAGTAGGTATACCACTGTTAATGCTGATACACTAGAAATAGTGGTGAAAACGTCCCTGTTGATAGCCATGTGTGGCCTGAACCCCAAAGTATTAACACAACCAAAAGTCGATCTTTGCGATGTGTGCCAGTGCATGGGCCAATTTTTTTTATTTTATTACAGACACTGATCACCGAACTGGACAGAAATACAGGGAAGTACCGTGACGAGGTCAGCCTGAAAACGGCCATCATGTCCTTCATCAACGCCATCCTCAACGCTGGAACGGGCCAGGTGTGTGTCGATCGCCACGCACAAGAGAGATAGCGCTGCTTCGCCTGCCTGTGATCACGGTCGCGAAATGAAATACTCGTTTCCATTGAATAGCCACGTTCATACACAAATCATTTACATGCATCCAATTGGTGTTGCGTTATTGTCAACATTTGTCAATGTCATCTTTTGATGGCCATTATGTTATCATGGGCAAAACACTTGTAGTAGCAGGTTTTATATGATTCTTATTTTGCATGCATCAGGTTTTAAATGTGAAGCTTCATAATTTGTAAAAAAAATAGTTTTACTAGATTTGTATTTGTATGTTTAAGTTTGCACTTTCTTATTAACAGTCATGATTTTTTTGAAACATTCTGATCCCTTGTATAAAGGTGTCAGTTTTGGTGCCAGATAAAAGGGTAAAAACCTATTACTATTACTATTAAAATGTTTATTTCTGTGTCAACCGTTTGAGACATTCCTCATTTTATAAATGTCTTTCTACCCAGAAATTCCTTCTGTCAGTGGTTGTTGTGATCTAGCATAGCCAAGCCAACTGAAATGTAAAACACGTACCGATATTTGCTATTTGTATTATGACCAATGAAACCATGAATGTAAATAAAATCAGTACGCCCATGAAATAGATCCTCACATCTAATTGTGCCCTTCCTGCTGACATGAAATCTATTCATCTATTTTTCAGAACTCCTATTTTCTCTGTTACTTTTGTAAGTAGCTACGTCCATGTCTGCACTGTGGTGACTTTGTTTTCTGTTTTTTTTTTATATTGTAGGAAAACCTGGAGTTCCGAGTTCATCTCAGATACGAGTTTCTAATGTTGGGGATCCAGTCGTTGGTTGACAAGCTGAGGTCACATGAAAATGCCACTTTGGACCGGTAAGCACATTTTTAGGCTGTGCCTGGCATTACCTGTGTATAACCAATGTATACCCTGCATATATACAGGGTAATGTATTTATAGATGCTCTCTTCACATCGTAGGGATACATTAAGTATAAAACGACATTTTATTTCAAATCCTTTACACGTCTTACACCAACCTCAATGTGCTTATTCAACATTTTCATATTTCTCTCCCTCTGTAAAATATGGAGTCATCAGTTCACACTATTTAGTTGCCGAGATCAAAGTAATCGGGTCATTAGAAATCAGTAAGGTATCCGTAAATTAATCACTCTGTATGTTGTATAATCGCAAGATTCTCGCTCACTCTTAGGGCATGAAATGTGGCAGAGAGGTCCCAGCTGTGCACCGCCTCCATACAGCTGTGACTTTGATAACAGAGTGTGGGAAACTGCCCTACTAATGTTGACATTTGACCATCATGGGTTCCCCCATGGTATTTTAGCCAATGAAATGTCACCGAAATCTCTGAGGTCTACCAACCAGCTTGACCACGCTCCAGGCTCAGAACTTTGAGGTGATTGCCGGGCTTTGTACGGTGCCCAGGCCCTGCAAGTCGCTGGCCCTTGGAGATCGGAAATTGCAGTTGATTGAGACTTTTATGTCCCAGATATCGACCCCACCACCTGTTTAAAAAGGCCTCATCTCTCTCTTTCTCTGTAGTTCCCTATCTTGTCTGTTTAGTCTTTCTCTCCCCGGTTACCTCTCACAAATTTTTCCTCTCGTATATGTATAGCTCTCCGAGATCAATTGTTTACTGGCACCTTATACGTCTAAATTATTATTATTGAAGCGTTAGACGACACGCTATACATTTAGGTAAACTCTATGATACAAAAATCAAGTAATGTTAGATTACGTGAGTGCAATGGATCAGAGAAATCGTCTAGATCTGGATGCCATGATTGTTTGCTCGTGTGCTTTCCGTGGCATTGACACGAACACCTTCTGAGATCGCTCTGCTCAGCATGGAGACCCATGTTGACAAACACTTTGTGCTTCTCTCGCGCAAATCATTGCAGACATCTGGACTTCTTCGAGATGATCCGGAACGAGGATGAAGCCGAGCTGGCCAAGCGATTTGACATGGCGAGTGACTCCTGTCCGTTGTTTGCCAAGTTTAGAAGCCCCGCCATTGGACAGTATGAGTATGCAAAGTTAAAAGTGATTTCTTGCTCAAAATGACCACTGAGGTGGTGCTCGCCTCCCACCTCAGTGGTACTAAATAAAGGCGATTTCCCATTGCGGTGTGCGTCCATGTGCCCGGATCGTTTACAGATGCACATCGACACGAAGAGTGCCGGGCAAATGTTCGACGTCATCAAGCGAAAGCTGAAGTTCACGGAGGCGTACCCACACCTCATGTCCATCCTCTACCACTGCCTGCACATGCCATGTGGGTACCGCCATGGAAAAGGCTTGTCTTGCGCTCACCTTTATGTGGCTTGGCATGGCGACATGTGCAGCCTTGAGCTCAGAGAGACCGCAACGCCGCCCCGGCCGCCGAGACCAGCAGCAGAATCGAGCGGTGTTATTTCAATGCCCCCGACGTGGTCCGAGCGAAGTGTGCTGTTTATATTTGAATGACAAAGCGAGGCTAAGTGTTGTTGAAAAAAATGGATATCGTCAAAGGCTGCCACAAACAATGCTGGCATACGCTGTACATTGTACAATAAGCCTACAGAAACCCTGGCAGAATTTTTTTTTTTTTAATATAAATTATGTGCAATGAGTTTCGCCAGGAAGGAGAAATGACGACTTCTCCATATGTCTCTTGGTACTGCCAGGGATACAAAAGTTGCAGAGGTCACAGTATAGCATGCTGACACTTGGCAGACCGGCGGTTTACATTGTGTATAGGCCATGACGTGTCCGTGTGTGAGGGCCAGTGCGAGTGTGTTTATTTAGCATGCACGTGTGCGTCTTGTATTCATGGAGCTGCAGCAGAGTGGTTAGCACATTGCGCTATAAACATGGTGACCTGGCTTTGATTGCTGGCCAATGGTGACATGAATCTGAACCTGTCCTAAGCTGCCATTAGGTCGACTTAGCCCTAAATCAGTGCTCCCTATAATGTGTAAACATCGCCACTCGGGTGACAAATTTGTGTTGCCAGCAATAGTGCGAGCCACACCACGCACTCATGTGCCGTGTTGGCCTTAATAGGTGGTCACGAACACCGCCTGCCTTGAGAGTCTAGATGGTTAAGTGGAAGATATTTTGTCGTGTTGGAGTGGTGGCATAGTGGTTAGCGCACTGCACTATGAACCACAGCCGATAGTGACATGTGATATCAAAACCAGTCTCGGACTTTCCACCAGCCTTGAATAAGTAGCTAGTATGGAGTGTAAATATCAGCACCGGAGAGGCTAGTTGGCCTTAAAAGGTGCTCGCTAACTGGACTTGCACCCCCTACAGTTTGTGTCAACTTTCCAGGGGGATCGTTGTCTTTCCGTATCTGTGCTACACACAGGCGCCTACCTATGCAGGATTACCTGCGCATTCTCACTTCCCAGATTGTTCTTGTGACTTGCTGGATCTTCTCCTCATGCAGTTTCAAATGAACAGTCGTATCTAATTGTTAAATCTGGTTACGTGAAATGTTGTTCATCTTACCGTCGAGCTGATACAAAAACAATTGCCTCATTAAACGCTAGCTCACGTGACAACTAAACAAAAAATTTGCTGCTTCGGGAGGTGGATGGTTTTAATTACACAAATTTGCTCAGATCGTTACGTGACCGAACCAAAATAAATCGATTGCGAATCATGTGCACGTGCTAATTGAAGGGTGCCGCTGCTTCTGCCAATCGCAGACAAGAAGAGCAGTGTGATGGTGCAGCACTGGCAGCTGCTCGACCGCATCCTGCAGCAGATCGTCCTGCAGAGTGAGCGTGGAGACGACCCCGACGTCGCCCCCCTGGAGAATTTCAACGTCAAGAACATCGTCCGCATGTAACGCTCGCTCGCCTGCTGGCTCACTCGTTGTGCCTCTCATAGTCCCACAGCTTCTCTCCCGGGCTAACAATGGGACGCGTAATTGCGTTTACTAGCTCGCGACCTCTGACTTGCTGTCACTGCAGGGTTCTTACCGTGTTGGGGTGCCCATCTGGAGGCCACACTATGTCACTAATACTGCACGGCCTCTAAACCATTCGTCCACTCGCCGTACGTGAAGAAAAGGAGAGATTGTGCCATCTCTAGCTCTTTTCAACTGTCATTCATAGTGTTTCACCGCTTAAACATACTCATCTCAATTGGAAGCCCTGAACCAGCAGTCAAAAGTTCCACATTCCTATGGCAGTCCAGTCGTACCAAAAGGACATTCCAAAGGACCTGTAAATATTTATTCCCTGGGGAGGACAACATTTCCTGGGCAAGGCAAGCACGGAAGTATAGCAATACAGGAATGCGCAGTTCTATTCCTGCACCTCTAATTAGCACGGTCGGCTACGTACGGTGCGAAAGAAGTTCAACGTACATACGTACAGAGGAAGCTGCCTCAATTAGCATGCGGGGAAGCGTTCACCTGGAAGGGCACCTTCCCTACTTGGATCCCTGTCGCTGATGCACTGCCGAGCCCCTCCGCCTCCTTTCCCCAGCCCCCCTCCACTCGACTCTCAACACCCCTCCCCCCTTCTTCGCCCCTGACCAGGCTGAGCGCCAGGTTTCCCGTTGTCCATCACGTGCACGCGTCGTGCGCCCCCACAGATGTTTTCCACCGTCCTCTGCTCGCTTTGCTCGCACACTCCTCGTGCCAACAATGATATTTGGAGATGGAACCAACGTCTCAACACTTGTTATGGTGTTACTGTTGCCCGAACGTTGCTGTTACACGAGTTATGTTTCCACGGAAAGAAAATTCGTTCAAGAATGTCAGACTACTAGTGTAAGCGCTTGCAGAGAGGAATTTTATATTGTTTAATTAGCTATTCGTTTGCGGATTGCGTCCAAGCATGCCCTGGTCATTAAAGGAAAAAAAAGATTATCTCGAGGCCTCCCAATTAGAGCCGTTCGGAAAGTGCAAGAACTAAACTAGTTTACAGAACGTCAATAACCAACAAGAACAAAACTAGTTTACAGGACGTTAATAACCAACAAGAACAAAACTAGTTTACAGAACGTCAATAACCAACAAGAACAAAACTAGTTTACAGAACGTTAATAACCAACAAGAACAAAACTAGTTTACAGAACGTTAATAACCAACAAGAACAAAACTAGTTTACAGAACGTTAATAACCAACAAGAACAAAACTAGCTTACAGGACGTTAATAACCAACAAGAACAAAACTATTTACAGAACGTTAATAACCAACAAGAACTAAACTAGTTTACAGAACGTCAATAACCAACAAGAACTAAACTAGTTTACAGAACGTTAATAACCAACAAGAACTAAACTAGTTTACAGGACGTTAATAACCAACAAGAACAAAACTAGTTTACAGAACGTTAATAACCAACAAGAACAAAACTAGTTTACAGAACGTCAATAACCAACAAGAACTAAACTAGTTTACAGGACGTTAATAACCAACAAGAACAAAACTAGTTTACAGAACGTCAATAACCAACAAGAACAAAACTAGTTTACAGAACGTTAATAACCAACAAGAACAAAACTAGTTTACAGAACGTTAATAACCAACAAGAACAAAACTAGTTTACAGAACGTTAATAACCAACAATAACAAAACTAGTTTACAGGACGTCAATAACCAACAAGAACAAAGCTAGTTTACAGAACGTTAATAACCAACAAGAACAAAACTAGTTTACAGGACGTTAATAACCAACAAGAACAAAACTAGTTTACAGGACGTTAATAACCAACAAGAACAAAACTAGTTTACAGAACGTTAATAACCAACAAGAACTAAACTAGCTTACAGGACGTTAATAACCAACAAGGACACGTTTACAGATGTGGGCTTAAGCCCAGCAAAGTTTAAAAGGTTCTTCATTGTTATTTAACCCATTTGTCAAATGCCAGCTGGCACGCGAATGTTCCGTCGTGTGCCGTGACGTGCTCCCTTCCAAGTCGCCCCTCTTTTCTCAATGCACTTCGGGGAATTTATGAACCCAGAAAATTGCTGAATGGCAAATGGAAAAAAAAAGGCTAAGGCTGCGTAAAACGCGTTAAAGCAGATTTGTCGCTGTTTATTTTAACTCGTCCAATTTACGTGTAATTTTCTTAAGGCGCTTTCTCTTTTTCTTGTTGAAATCTTCACCCTCCCCACCAACCGCCCCTTTTATCATTTATCATTGGATTACATCACACAGAAAGCATCGCTGATGCAGATAGCATGTTTTTAAAACCCAAAGAAATATTCCAATAATTTACGTTCTCCAGCTGCTACTTCGAAGCAATACTAAAACCCCACGTAATAAGTTCAAAAGTCAAGTCATTAAAATGTGCTTCGCTCTATTAAAGCCGCCATTACTCATGCAAACATTTGTTTGCTTCCGTCCTCGCTGGATACATCTGACCTTGCAAAATGTCAATTTATCATAACGCTCGGTGCATTGCGATGCGTGTTCTCGGTTCAACGAGGGAAACTCTTTCCCTCTTGCCGACGGACTGGCCCAGCCCATTCACGAGGGAGCTTCGTCCTTGAGTCCTTGACACAGCAGCGTCTGAGGCCAATGTCATTGTCGCTCAGTATGTCACTGGTCTCTGGTTGTCATACAGTTTATCGGTCCAGCAGTGCAACTGAATATATGTGTCGAATAATAAGATTAAGTCAATTCTAGATTTGAAGCTTTCGTGACTGCAAGGATCCATACTCTTTGGTTCTATTCGGTAAAGTCACGTAACTTTATCGAATAGAACCAAAGAAGATTAAGTCAAGCGGTAAAAGTGCATCATTTATTTAACCTTTGTTACGTTATTTCCTCGCGTGCAAACAAGTTCGGAAATATTCTGCAGGAAATCCAGTATTTCGGAAGCGCATTAGATATGTGTCTTAAACACGGTGAGATTGACCAAAGCTAATTTTGTTGTTAAGACTTTTTTTTTCCTGTGCGCTTTTAAAATGCCATTCAATCATTCACAGGTTGGTGAATGAAAACGAAGTCAAACAGTGGAAAGAGCAAGCTGAGAAAATGAGAAAAGGTAATCTCGCGATTGAAATACTCCTGATTAGTGGATGCATTACACCTCTGCCTTTACACAACCTACATCCACTGCTGGATGAGGGCCTCCCCATGCCTTGTCGTTTGTTTGACCATACTTAACCACTCTAGTCAGTCTGGTTCGATGAAGACGGGGAATACAGATGTGAGCGCGTAGGAATTCAGTTCTGCAATGGATGTATGCTGCACTGTCACCCACTGCTGTGACTGGGTCGGGTGACTTGGTGAGAGGCACCTGTGCCCTTCAGTGCACCCGTAATCAATCACGGAACAATGTGTCCCGCAGAGCACAGTGAGCTGTTGGGCCGCCTGGAGAAGAAGGAGCGGGAGTGCGAGGCGAAGACGCAGGAGAAGGAGGACATGATGAAGACGCTGAACAAGATGAAGGAGAAGCTGCAGCGCGAGTCTCAGGAGCTGCGCGTCGCTCGTGAGCAGACGGCGGCCCTGAGCGCCAAGCTGCAGGAGATGGGGCACACGGTGAGAGACAGACAGCCCCTTCCTCTCTTTCTCTCTCTCTGTCTCCCTGCTTGTCTGTCTGCATGTTTGTATGTATGTATGTCTGGCGGTCTCCTTTGTTTGTCTTCCTCTGCTTGTTTGCCTATCTGCTTGTCTATCTGCTTGTCTAATCTTTGGTTTTTTTACCGAAAAAAACAAAGATTAATTCCTGCAGTCACGAAAGCTTCGAACCAAGTTTATCTGCGTGTCTATTTGACTCTGCACTATCAACCAATCTCGTTATCTTCTCATTTATCACAGCTGCTGCACCCAGGCCCGAAGGCTTATATCACTAAATCGTCAGCAACTCGGAGCACTTAAAATACAACAAAACAACGATCATACAATCATACAGCCATTTGTCCATCCACTGGTTGATGATGGCCTCCATATACCATGTTGGTCAAGCAGATTGTTTTAACTATACTTCACCACGCTGGTCACCTCCGATTAGCATGGCTGGCTATGTACATGTGTGAAAGAAGTTCAACATACATACAGCAGGTTGGTGACCGGTTTAGATATCACTCCCTAATGGCATTAACCGCATCCGGGAATCAAACTCAAATTTCCTCGTTCGTAGCGCAGTGCGTGAATCTCTGCACCATCTCTCCACCCCAAACAGTAACATTTTAAATACAAATTTAACATTGATTTTTTAGATAATTTATTCTGGAATTTAGGCGCCCCCACCCCTTCCCTTCGCTCCCCCTCCATTTAATTTTCCTTCTCCCCCACACCCCCACCTCATCCTTCCCCTAGAGGGTTATTCGAGTTAAGAAAGTAGACACCAGGGATATAGAGTTTATTGAAACACGTGACATGGACAGGTTCTCTTTGTTGCCCTAAATGATTTGTTCAATAAAATACTTTTTGGAAGAAAAATAATTTTAAAACCTGTGGAATATTGACTTTTAAGAGACAAAGCCGTGAAATGAGATGATGCCATTGGCGCTGCGCTCTCCTGCGGCCGTGTGCGTGCTTGCAGGGCATCATCACGGGCCCGCTCCCCAGTCTTGCTGCACCCCCGGCTCCTCCGCCGCTCATGGGGATTCCACTTCCTCCTCCCTTCCCTGGCATGGGGGCGCCACCACCGCCTCCACCCCCACCGGGGGCACCTCCGCTCCCCCCGGGGCCCCCTCCACTCGGCATGAACTTTGCAGTGGCCCCAGCGGCACCCGTCCTCAAAAAGAAGAACATTCCCCAGCCAGCCAACCCGCTCAAGTCCTTCAACTGGGCCAAGCTGCCGGAGGTGAGTGCAAGGCCTGGCGCAAGCAGCTGTCCCTGGGGCATTTTCTTCACAAGCGTGAGCGGGCCGGAATCCAAATCCCAGCCGCTCCGGTAAAAAATATATATGTTTTAGACTTTTCCAAACGGATCTCTGCTCTTTCATACACAACAATCAGTCCATTGTTGAATGCCTGGTTGATGTTTTGATGGAAAAGAGGAGTGTGAAAGTCTTGGATTTTAAGCTTGATTTAGAAATCGAGTGTTGACTTCTTATCCTGCGACGTCTCAAAGTTGGTTTAATAAAACTGCCATGCTTTTGTGATATGCAGAACAAAATTGATGGCACAATATGGAGTGAGCTGGACGACCAGAGAGCGTTCCGAGTTCTGGACCTGCAGGACATTGAGAGGGTATTCTCGGCCTACCAACGGCAACAGGTAACAGCAGCACTGCGCTTACCCAGGCGAGGGGCTGGACACAGGCACGCAATAACTCTCTGTTGCAAATGACCGTGACCTCACCGTTTTAATTGATGTACTGTATTTAAAAGTAATGGGCGCTGCACCTTATGAGAATGCAAGTGCTAAATAGGTCAAATTCCTTTGTTATACAAAACTGAGCAATTCGCAATTAGAGGGAATTCTTTACTTTGTGATGATTGTGAAGGAAGTAATCCTCCCCTGTGGTCACAGCGGTTTGGTTCAATAATCATTCATTAAATAATGTAAAGACAGCCTTTTGGCAATCCACTGCTGGTGGAAGGCCTCCTCGTGTCGTATTGAACTGGAGGCTTATTTGAGACACGTTTGACCATACTTCACCACGCTGGCCAACATAATTGCTTGTCATTTAAAGATAAAGCTTCTTCTTTTTATAAATCACACATGTTTATTAAAGCAAAGTATGGTGTTAATTAAAAGTTTAAGTTGACATACCAGTTTATTAAATATTTTTTTTTAACCTTGCATGTGTAAAAAAAAATCAGATGCTGCATCAATGAACCGACGGAGCGTTTACGTGATTATGTATGTTGCAGCTAACTTTCAAGGCGATTGCATTTTATTGCAATCCAGTGCACACAGGACAAGTTCAAGCTTATCAAACATTTAAAGGCAGAATCCTTATTAACTCCCAGCGGCATAATACGTTGTGTGAATGCACTCTTTAAAAACGCTGGCGTTAGCTTTGCAGGACTTGCTGCAGACTGTCCGGTGCGATGACATCGCAGGCCCGCACGAATTAGTCGTCGCGTCCACAGCCGCCTTCTTTGATGTTAGCAATTTAAATCGGCAGTCGTTGCAAAAGGTTCGTTCCCACGATGCATGGGGCGTCAAGTCTTTTCCAACACCGCGGTCAATGAGCGACAAGCTCGCTCATTTGTATTGTCTCCTCGGCTTCGCTTACTATCCCAGTGCTCGTCCTACGTTTGCTGCTGTGCGTTGTCCTCGCTCAGAACAACGACACCTCTATGTGCTTGCGCTCTGAAGAGAATCGCAGCTTGCGTGATATTTAACTCGATCGGTGTTTGCCATGCGGCGTAAGGAGCTTGTTGGATCGGTGCGGATGTTTATTGCGCTGCATTTCTATCCTTCATTGCATATTGCTGCTCGAGGCATTTGCCCCTCTCCTGTCATTTAACACATTAACACAACTAGCGTATAATGCGATGGTTGAAATGCAAGTGTCAAAGAATCCCTTTTTTAACAGAGCGCTGTGCTATCATGCCCTGATACCTCTGGCAGGGCAGGCCTGCGTGCTGTTTACAGCAGAGGTTTGTTTTTTTCTCATTCTGGAATGCTTCTCTGCGCCGCTGCTGCCGGTTTGCTTTGCAAGCTAACGCTGCATGTCTTGTTCCTGTGTGCCTTGGCCTGCTACTCAGGACCTGCTGCCCTTCAATAATCTGAAGCAGGTAAGCTCTGCCAACTGTGCCTGTGCTATGCTTTATTCAAGCGCAGCTCTGCGCTGGATTGTTGTTATTCTCGCATCCTTTTAGACGCATCGCCAAAATATGACTTTTTTGGGTGGGGGGGGGCGGGGGGCTTACATTGATGCTGGAGAAGAATAATGATTAGCACATCCATATACCAACACAGCTGTTGACACTTAGGACATGTTTCCTTAAATCCCTCCCTCCCTGGATGGATCCACCCAGCAGTACAAGTGGGTTCAACACATCGGCAGGTCGTGTGTGGCAGGGTAATTTGTGGGGTGCTCCCACCTCTTCCAAGACACCTGACGAGCGTGGAAGAGTAGGCCAAAACACACTCCAGAGGGGCTCTCTAGAGCTCCTTCTAGTGGAGGCTGTTTCCCCTGCAGTGGTGTGAGCAAGCGACTTCAGGGCTGTGCCATTGCCTTTTTTTAATATATATTGTTCTTAATTAGTCACGTACATATTGTGGTGAGTGGTTTGGGATCGTACAGCACAAACTACAGGTGGCTCACAGCAAAAAAACACCTAAATGTTTCGTTATTTTTAGGGTCCACAGATGCCCCGTTAATGCATTTAATAGCCTTCAGGAAAAGCAGTGTTCATTTGACGTTGGGGACAAATGCCGCCCGTTCAACGGTACACGAAGAAAAACTCTTTCCAAGCGCGCAAGCCAATTAGAAGCCAATTTAGCTCATTTCAGGGTTTTGTGTGGGAGACCGTAGCTTGCAGTGCAATGCGCTAACTCCCGCAAAAATGTAATAATCTGAATATCAACAACTTTTCTCCAAACAAAAAAAACAACTGCTTCTAATTTTGAGACCATGCATGGTGGTGCAGTCTGCCAAAAGACATTGCATTTAATTTACTCTGCTTCCAAAAACACCACCTCCGGAGTCCCTCAAACAAGGCTCATTTTTTTATCTGATTGGATTCTTATTAAAAGTAAATGCATTTACGAGCAATGTTTTGCTTGATTTATCCTCCGATGCAGACGTCTATTTTAGATTTTTCTTAAAAGAGAGTACAGTATGAGTTTCTTTGCTTTATCTCTGTGTTTATGTTTGGTGGCTAGCGTGATTAAATAACATCAAATAGCGAAAGACCAAACAAAATACCTAGTTTCAAACGACTTAATGTTGTCAAGATCAATAAGATTAACTAACATACACGCAATGGCTATATTTCTGAACGCCATCTAATACAACATACTTAAGAATGCAAAACTACAAGTAAAAATGTAATGCTTTGTTTTTTTTATATATAAGCTATCTTGAAAAATATGCGCTGTTGTCTCACTGCTTGTGTGCCTACGTGGCCAGCCACATACACCTCACAAGTGCAGAACCCAACTTACTTCCAGCTTGACGAACATCGGCCAAAAGAAACTCTCTCCTAATTTGACCGATGGAGCTTTGATGCTACGCAGCAGGTTGTTAATTCAACAGAAGAAAGCTGATGTGTTTTTGAATTTAATTTGAAATGACAGAAGGAATTGGGTTCAACCGAGGACCTTCACCACGGCAACAAGAGAGCCAAGGAACTGTCCGTCATCGACGGACGCCGGGCTCAAAACTGTGTCATCTTGCTCTCCAAGTAAGTGTTGTGCCGTGCGTCATGATATCACACCCAGCGCCAGGGGCACAGGCCACACTTTTGGAAAGTTGGGGGAGTTACTGCCAGTGCATGGTAGTAAGTTGAAGATTTCAAATTGATTTGTTCTCCGACATGATTAAACTAATAGTAATAATCATGAAGCAGTGTTTGTAGATCAGAGGGGTTGTTTGGCCATATTTCACGATGCTGGTCAGTGCAGAATTGGTGAAAGGCATTGAAGTGTGTCAATGTGAATCACTGTAACATGAGTATATACATTGTTTTAACATCATATGTCATTGTAAAAACAACACCTTACCTGTACCCATATATATTGTATTAAATATATACTTTTTTAACTGTATTCATTGAAACATCTGGATACATCCACAGCGTAGGTTTAAATTTAGTGGGCGCCCAGATGGCAATCGTATCACAGGTCCGGCCAACCTGGCAAGGCCTGCGGAAGTCATTAACCACTGTCTTGAAGGCCTCACCAACACCACTGCCCAAATTGACACGTGGTTACGCTCTGCAGTTGGCAGCTCACAACGTTGGTCTATTGTCTTTAGAGATTTTTTTTTTTATGCGCAGCACTTTTGAGTCAAAGTCACCTATTTGTATTGCTTTGTTCGGGGTGAAGTGGTAACACTTTATGGCAAGGAGGGCCCAGGTTGGATTCCCGATTGGGGTGCCTTTCTGTGTACAGTTATATATGTTATAAGTTTTATGCTTCTCCCCCTGTTCAACATCGGTTTCCTCCAGGCTCTCCCTGTTCTTTCCATGGTCAATAAAAACAACATGCAAAGTAATTAGTGTTGGACAAAACAGCCCAATGTTGAAAAATCGCATGCAGACTACTAAATTTGGAATGCACACAGCATCCATCGCCTCCTAATACTAAACTTCGTAGGACCCTCCTAAAAAAGTGTCTTCAAATTCAGTGAGCTTCTTGGGAAACGAGCATAATAATAGTGATAAATTAAGCAAATTCAGCTGGGCTATCCCATTATATGAGTAATTAATCCATCGATTAATGATGCAAGTGGATAACTAGAAAAAAGAAAAAAGTTTCACCTCTGTAACCATCTGTGCCACTGGAAGGGAGGTGATAGCCTCTTCAGAAATATCAGCTAAAGTTAAATTATTTATAAGCATAACAAGATAATTAACCAAACACTTACATATTTTCTATCATATGATTAGGATTATGTAGATTGAAAGTGGGTACCCTCAATATCCTGCTTAGGGCCCCCAATGGACGGGCACCACCACTGTGCATAGTTTTTAAAACTATTTGCTAGTTTCCATCTTTATGTAATACCAAAGGAAGCAGTGGACTTGTTTTTAAGGAAGCAATGTCAACATATTTCGTATGATCTTCTGCGTAAACTCTTCGTGCACTTGGGACTGATCTGGTGCTGGCAGCCAAACTTTGTGAAGCACTCAAGCCGTTAAAGTACAAATAATAAATAATATTGTTTTTTTGCAAATACAGACACTTTTGATTTAATTATATATTGGTCTTTTTTTTCCTCTCTCTCTCTCTCTCAAAATATTGAATTCACTTCCAAGAAAACATTTTGGACAGAGGCATTCACAAAAACACAGTGTGACGAGCCAACTTGTGACGATCATACATGGGTTCCTCATTGCCGACTTTTGAAACGACAGATTTCTCCCTGACGTGTGTTTTTTTTTGTGTGTGACACAAAGACGACGTGTGTTAGAGCAGGGAGAATGAGCAGGGTGCTGTGCTGCACGTGACGTTTCATGTGATGGCCCCGGCCCGGTCTGGCCTGGCCTGGCTACCGAGCTGCCTTGTGACACGACTCATGGGATGTTGGTTGCGCGGCAGCTTGGGGAGTCTGCTCACACGCCCAGCCCTGTTTGCACAAAGTGACCTTACAGAGGTCAACGCAGAGCCACTCTGTTCACACCTAGTGTGGCAGGAGGCATGGCTACAGTCGTCACTGATCCAGACTTGCGTTCTCTCCGGCCAGGTGGCTCTGTGGGCAGAGCACCATCATACTAACATTTGGAAGATTGCTATGATGATTACTGCTTTGTGCGACCTGCAGTCGATTGATCTTAGCTTATGATCGTGATATCTTTGTGCAACGTCAACAGTGGTTGTCCTATGAGAAGAATGGCTCCCACCACAGATGTGTCGAATTTCCACTACTGGCTCAGGACTACAAATTAAGTTGATTACCACTTAATTCGTTTGAGCATGGCGACACCTTGTGAATATTATTGTAAATAAAACTGCATTCAATCCTTGCATTTGTTTTACGTAACTTTACTGTTTAGCAGTTTTCAGTAATTGTTGTATGCTCTACAGTACGGAATCTGGCGCACATACAGAAATGTCACATTTGAATGAGACTTCAAACTCTTTGCCAACTCTGGGCTGCAGTGGCAGCTGCTACTTTTGTCCTGGTGAGATGTGGCCTTGCTGCTAGATGATGGCACAGTCACCGAGCAAATAGACTGCTGAAAATTATTTTCCGCAATTTTTTGTGGGAATTTATTTATATATATTCACGTATTTTTATTTTGTAATAAAAAATACTGTTCCTATTTTTATAATATGAAATACTGTAAAATGTATTTCTTTGTATATATTAAAAATACAAATTTACAGCCGATAATTTACCGACTATGGGATGAAGGCCTGGTTGTTTGACCATACTTCACCATGTTGGTCAGTGTGGGTTGGTAAAGGGAAGTATATCCTCTGTACGGTTATTAACATTATAACACAACTTTTGTTTACAAAGTGACCTTGTTTATTCTGCATACAAGGAGGCACTGTTTTGTAACTGCGAACATGACTCTTCTATGGGTATGAGTCCCATGACACGGAATGTATTGTGCTGTCCCTGCAGTCTGTCATGGGATTGTTAATATCCACATGCAGGCAAAACAGCCCATCACTCACACAGCAGCCTCAGCTCCCTGTGTCCTTCCATCATAGTTATCCATTACTGTCTCCAGTTTCTCATTGGTTTGCCCATTGATGTCAGGGGTCGGCAAACTGCAGCTCCGGAGCCGAATGCGCCTCTCTGGCTGCCCCCTTGCGTCTCTTTGGCTGCCCCTTTGCGCCTCTTTGGCTGCCCCCTTGCGGCTCTTTGGCTGCCCCTTTGCGCCTCTTTGGCTGCCCCCTTGCGGCTCTTTGGCTGCCCCCTTGCGATTCTTTGACTGCCCCTTGAGGCTCTTTGGCTGCCCCCTTGCGATTCTTTGGCTGCCCCTTGAGGCTCTTTGGCTTCCCCCTTGCAGCTCTTTGGCTGCCCCCTTGCGCCTCTTTGGCTGCCCCCTTGCAGCTCTTTGGCTGCCCCCTTGCAGCTATTTGGCTTCCCCCTTGTGGCTCTTTGGCTGCCCCCTTGCGGCTCTTTGGCTGCCCCCTTGCGGCTCTTTGGCTGCCCCTTGCGGCTCTTTGGCTGCCCCCTTGCGCCTCTTTGGCTGCCCCCTTGTGGCTCTTTGGCTTTCCCCTTCCGACTCTTTGGCTGCCCCCTTGCGCCTCTTTGGCTGCCCCCTTGCGGCTCTTTGGCTGCCCCCTTGCGCCTCTTTGGCTACCCCCTTGTGGGTAGCTATTTTTTTGAATAATTTTTGTTGTTACTTTATTTGGTTCTTTACACTCTAAAGTGTCGGACAGGCAGTCCCTGCTTTTATGACGTTACAATAGGTTCCTGGAAACCCCGTAGTAAATCAGACCCTGCATTCCCATAGACGCAACGTTACTGTCTTTGTGACAACAAAATGTACAGTCAAACTGTAGAATAACTCGGGGGGGGGGAATAATAACTCAGGCGGAAAAAAACGAAATAGATGCAGTTTATTCCATCACCTATTTTGTTTAATGAAGTCCGATGTGTTAGTCATCTGCTGTATACCTGTTGTGTTTCTCTGTACAAGTAGCTCTGCGTGTGATGCGACTCACAAAGTATTTTGGTCAAAGACAAAAAAACAAAAAAATGCCTCTTGTACTTCGAAAGGTTGCCGACCCCCCGTTATATGTGAATATAAATATCCAAATATATATAGTAACTATATTCGGGTTTGTGCCATGGTGTAATGGTGAGCACATTTGATTTGCAATCCAGAGGTTCCCAGTGCGATCTTCTGGCACGGCAAATGAAGTTTCCTTTAATATCTCTGCCTCTGTCCAACCAGAATTATAAATGGGTACACCACAGTCAGTCGGCAGCTAACGTGGGGTGGGGTGAAGTGGGGCTACTGTCACTTCTTCTGAAACGCCTGTTCAGTGTGGAAGAGTAAGTCAAATACATGTGAAGGGGCTCCTCTTGAGCTCTCTCCAGTACAGGCCGTTCCACTAGCAGTGGCTTGAGCAAGAACTTGCAGGGCTGCTTCTTTACATTTTTAATCTGGCAGTTTTGAATATCACAACTTAATTTGCTGGAATATTTTGTAGTGGTAATGTTTTTGGTAAAAAAAAGCACACGTGTCTTCACAAATCACTGTAAATAGTGGATTTAAAAATCCATAGTGTGTTGTATGTGCTCTAGTACTTTTAACTGTATTAAGCAGCAGTTAAATATAGCTGGGAGGTTATGCTGTTCACAAGGCTAATGTGTTGTTGTCCTTAAGGCTGAAGATGTCCAATGAGGAGATAAAGCGAGCGCTGATGAGGATGGATGAGCAAGAGGAACTGCCCAAAGATATGCTGGAGCAGGTTTGTATTTACATTGCCAACATGCGTATCGGTATTTAAGTTCTACAACAGTGTCCAAATAATCACTGTAACCATCATAGATGTGTAATATGCTCTGTCGCCGTTATCATCATCGCCATCAATCACCATGTACCTTCATGTTGGTCTGGAGCCGTTCTTTCATTATCTTTATGCGTGGATGTCCGGCCAAAGCAATATCTTGGCGCAGCGTCTGTCCCAAGGGACATTTCTGAATTTCACATCAAATTGGCACAAAACGAGGTTGATACCAAGTGCAAGGCCATGAACCCCCTCCCCGCCATGTGCTGTCAAGCATTGACACCATGGCACGTTCCACATAGAGCTCCTGGGGAAATTCCTGCAATCCCAGTCCTCCCAGTGTCAGGAAGCCCTCCCCTACCTCCTTGTCCTGTCTTTACCCATTGCTGGATTCATCTCCTTAAATGTTAAGCTGTCTTCGGAGGTGTCTCAAGTGACGTAACTTAGCATCGAATTCCTGCAAGCCATCATCTTAAGCCTCGCTAAAGTTGAGAATAACCATTATAAACAACCGGGGCTCTTTGTGGAATCTAAAAAAAACCCTCAAAATAATGTTGGTGCAAGTGGTTAATCAATCACCCATGTGTGTACATTTAGTTCCTCGCTGGGGTACGTGGACCCCGCGTGTGTTAACTAGAAGCTAAACTGACCACAAAACCTTTTTGAAAGTAAGTGGGGCAAAGCACTGCAGGGTAGAATCCCATGTTTGTTTCTGTGGATAACCAAAGTGTGCTTCATGTCCTGTACATTTTTATATATCTTTAATAGATAACGGTGCACACACATATATATGAAAAGCATATGTTTAAATAGGCAGAAAGTAAGAATCAACATTTGTGGCCATGTGGTCTTTTTGAGTGTGTCATGGAACCCGACATGTGTATTTCTCTGTGGGAGGCAAAATACAAATGGCACTGATGGGGTTGACCAGAGGCACCATGTGGTACAGATTCGAAATCATCTAATTGTGCCCATGCAGCGCTCCGTTTTACACGGCTGTAGACAAACAAATGAAGCCGCATGGCTCCTTTTGCTTGGAGTCTGGATGCTGAAAGTTTACTCGAGCATCGTGCGGAGGCTTAAATGCTTTAGGTTTTTATCAAGCTGTTCCTTGGACCGTTTATGTAACCAAATTCTTGGCAAGCTCCCGCCATTAAAAAAAATACTGACGGTTTCCTCTTACTGAAGCCCTCCCATCCGATAAAGCTAAAAACTTAGCACATTTTTTAGAAAGCCATATAAATTTTAAGATTGGCCCATTTCCAAGAAATTCTTTTTGAGAAAAACATTTTTTTTGTCCTTTTTTTATACGAATAATCTGTGCTTTAGTTGTCAAACATGAATATCTGCACACTAGGTCACTTTGAGCGTATGTTGGTTATTATTTAAAGGACAGATGGTTGGGCATGCAAGTGGGGGTAACCTCAACTTAAGCTAAGAGAAAGATTAGAACGAGTATTGTTCATCAGTGCTTGGAAAAAATGTTGGCTCACAGTTTAAGATAACTTGTGGGGAATATGATGAAGTTGGTTAGACCACAGGACACTGCATAACAAATTACTTGGCTGTTGTGTTTTTTGTTAACTTCTGGAATTAAGCCATGGAAAATTCATATTTGTACACAATTGTGAAGTTAAAAGCAAAACCAAAACGATGTGTTATCCAAAGCCACGTGGAATACAACTCAGAATTATTTTCTAAATCGAAACTGCTTTGTTGTAAAACATTAGTGATAAAATTCAGCCTTGGTGACATTGCCATTACAGTATTCAGTTGACAAATCAGAAGGTTCTGAGTTCTACTTCCTGTCGGAGGTCCCTTCAGCCCATTATCAACTCCAGTGTCGTTAACACAAGCACTGCTGTGAGAGTGGTTGACCGTGCATATAGTGGCCTCTCTCATGGAAATATGGAATTTACACCACTGTCTTAGGGACACCAATGAACACATGCACATGCGTCTTTGAGATAGAAGACACCTTGAATCCTTCACTCGCAATGTAGTTAATAGGCATGTCGTCATTCACCCCCCACGATTAAATTGCATTATTCATTGTAACAATTTAATTTAATACTCAAATTTTTAAGTGTTTTCTGTCTAGTCTGTGCAGTGTTATTCACTTCCTGAGCTGAAACATAACACGAGCATGTAATTTGTGTGAAATTCACACGAACCATTAAATAATCGCGTCTCGTACGGTTTGTGCTGCGTGCACCATAAGGCATAGTTTTCGCGTTTCTACGCTCCGATCATTGCGAGTCTACTGAGTTAACTCTCCCGTGTGTCATCAATGTCTCTGTGCCGCCGCCATCGCCTTCACAGCTGCTCAAGTTTGTGCCGGAGAAGAGCGACGTGGACGTGCTGGAGGAGCACCGGCACGAGATCGAGCGCATGGCCCGCGCCGACCGCTTTCTCTTTGACATGAGCAGGTGAGCACCGAGCGAACGGCACACCAACCACGCCGAGCGGCGCACCAACCACGCCGAGCAGCACACCAACCACGCCAAGCGGCACACCAACCACGCCGAGCAGCACACCAACCACGCCGAGCGGCACACCAACCACGCCGAGCCGCTCACCAACCACGCCGAGCGGCACACCAACCACGCCGAGCAGCACACCAACCACGCCGAGCGGCACACCAACCACGCCGAGCCGCTCACCAACCACGCCGAGCAGCACACCAACCACGCCGAGCGGCACACCAACCACACCGAGCAGCACACCAACCACGCCGAGCAGCACACCAACCACGCCGAGCGATGCACCAACCACGCCGAGCAGCACACCAACCACGCCGAGCGACACACCAACCACGCCGAGCGACACACCAACCACGCCGAGCAGCACACCAACCACGCCGAGCGATGCACCAACCACGCCGAGCAGCACACCAACCACGCCGAGCGACACACCAACCACGCCGAGCGACGCACCAACCACGCCGAGCGGCACACCAACCACGCCGAGCAGCACACCAACCACGCCGAGCGGCACACCAACCACGCCGAGCGACACACCAACCACGCCGAGCGATGCACCAACCACGCCGAGCGGCACACCAACCACGCCGAGCGATGCACCAACCACACCAAGCGGCACACCAACCACGCCAAGTGGCACACCAACCACGCCGAGCGGCACACCAACCACACCGAGCGGCGCACCAACCACGCCGAGCGGCACATCCGCCACACCGGCGCTTATTTGATGTATTTTTCCGTGCATTTCTTTACTCCCAGTAGAGCTGAAGGTCGCTTCAGTTTTTAAGCTGTAGTTTTCTCAGCCTAAATCTGCCATGAGTCTTCGAATACATTTTACAATCTATAACACTTATGACGCACATGCTGTTGGAAACACAAAAAATAAACAATTAAGTTAACATCTGCGATTGCCTAGGCTTACTGTAGATCACCATGCAGGAAAACAAGCATGTCAATTGAATAGCACGGCTATTCCGTCAGAATTGTAATTATTCTGTTATCACAAATATTTCGCCAGAAAATGCCATATTTAAAAAATGAACAACTACTTGAAGATATTTTGCAATGCAGAAGATACGTATATCGTGGGCCCTTGTATCATACAATACATCGTAGTATCGTCGCCACATCAAGGCAACTATAACGTGCTCCCATCACACCGGTGGTTATTGGGTAGATTACAAAGAGGATCTGGAAAATTCACACCCCCCCTCTCTCCCCTGATTCGTCACGTATTAGAGGAGCTCCACTGTACGGTAATTGTGCTATAAAATCTACACACCGACTGGCTATTGACTCCGAAGTGAGCCCACTGTATATATTTGAAGTTTTCTACATCGGCATAATCTACGTATCTCCCCCCCCCCCACCCCCCGTTCCTTCTAAATCTACGTGCTCCGCTGGCTATTGTCACCGTACTGGAAAATGAGCACTCAAAAATAACGTGAATTTGGTCAGAAAATGTTGTGGGGGGGTGGCGGGGTGGGGTGGGATGGGAGGGTGTTCGGCTGTCGGTAGTTGACGTGGAGGCACTGCTGCTATGCTGGGCGGTAGCCGTGAAGGCGTCTTCTTGATCTCAGCAGGGGAGAGCCCCCTTTTGATGCCGAGTGGAGGTGGGGGGTGGCTGCTTTTGGCCAGGCTGCTGGCAATGGAGTTTGTGTGTGTGTGGGGTCTGTTTGTGGCCTCTGTGGACTAAACACCGCACGCCACAGTCGCGCGCGCGTACGCACACACGAGGATTTATACGGTCTGTTAATGTAGCGACAAGGACGAATCGGCCAATGCAATATAAGTCAATAAATACCGGATTACGAATACGCCTGCATTGTATTAAACATCCAGTCGAGCTGCATGTTTTGTACCCAATTTATTTCACATTTTGTGCCATAGAACTCGGTGTGTTGCGTTTCACCTTTTTAATTAATATTTCAAATTGTAAATGGTGCCTGGATTATGATTATTATCAAATTCTTATTAAATAGCTGCGAATTTTCCTTCTCAGTGGGGGTAGAACATCTTTGTTTTATACACATGTGTATACACTTCTTTTTTTTACTGGTGGTGAGGGGGTGTGCAAAGAGTGGAGGGGATATGGTTGGGACCTGGACCGTTTGAGGGCCAGGGGATTTTTTGTTGGGAGGAAATCGTTTCCGCTTTATGATCGGAAGTCAATAGTTACCACGCTAATGATCTCGGATTGTCGTCTCTGTATCCGGACTTGGAAGCTCTGAGAAGTTTCCCTGCGATGTGTGGTGATGAACCATGTTATTGGCGACCGTGTTTGCGCGCGTGTGTGCCATTGGGCGTTATTGTGGCTGCTAGTGTAAAAATTCCCCGCTTTTGTGCGCTATTTGTAACTAATTATATGGATCTGTCCACACCAGTACAATTCTGTATTCACTAATGGATTTCTGTTTATACGCCTTATATGTTGTTGTACTTTATGTGTACGTGCACGTACGTGTTCGTGTGTGTCCGTCTGACAAACAGGATTCCTCATTACCAGCAACGGTTACAGGCGCTTTTCTTCAAAAAGAAGTTTGCCGAGCGACTTGGGGAGTGCAAACCGAAGGTGGAAGGTGAGACACAAACATTTTCCGGAGGCTCGCGCTCACTTTAGCGTGGCAGAAGTGACGTCATGTGATTCATGGTGCGGCTTGTACTCTAAAGCCTCATTTTTTTTTAAAAACTGCTTTTTGTGTTTAGTTTGTTTTCCTTCCCCCCGCACCTCCGATTAGCACGGTTAGCTACGTACGGTGTGAGAGAAGTTCAACAAACATACAAGCTCGCTGTGAGATAACCCCATGTATTGTATTGCATGCGTTTCCTCCCTCCTCTTGGCCATCCGTACTGCTGAGACCTTCCCCTGTTCAAGTTCTTCAGGCTCAAGACTTTCCTCTTCTCGCTGTGACTGCCTGTCTGTCTCCATGAAGCGCCTTCATTCACTCTCTTGCCACACTGTCTGCTCATGTCCTGCTTTGCCCTGTAGTCATGAATCTTTTATTCCTTGTCTTCCAAAGATACAGCTCTTTAAAATATCCTTCGCTGATCTTACGAATTTAGTGGCTTCCATCCCCCCCCAGCCCCTACTGCCCCCCTCTCCCCTACCTGCAGTTTCCCTTTTTATAAGTGGTTGGAAGAATACTTTGATGAGAGTGGCTACGCCTCTTCGAGCTTCGCTCATTCAAAGCGACATTGATTCTGTATCGATCTGTTGTGCTCAGTGCTTGTTGTTGATGGATAGAAATATAATTGACCCAAAAAAATTGTCCTCAAACAAGTCGTGGGGAGCATAGGGGTGTATGCTCCATCACGCCCAATTTGTTGCATCTTGTATTATTTATAAATCCATGATTGTATTGTATTATGTGCACATTTACTGGGTTTAAATGAGTTACGGATGAAAAATGAAGAAAAATTACCAATATTTTTTAGCGTGGTTATAAACACTGCATGTCTGGCAAAATAAATGTAAATTTAGTCTAGTGAAATTGACTTTTTTTATTACGTATCTCAGAGGGCACGTATGGAATTCTCTGAGCATTCCATTGACCTTCACGCCATCGTTTAATTATATCTCTGTATTCATGGTGGCGAGTGCAGAGAAAGCGGTGTAATGAGCTTAGGGCCAACAGTATCCTTCATCCAACCTTCACATCGTAGCCACTCAATTGTCTGATAACACGGCACGGATATTTTTTCCATTACGAGTCTTGTGCGACCCGGTGCTTGTGTTCTTGTCAAGGCCTTATGCCTTCCCGTGTGTGGCGCGCACAATATAAATGGGAACACCACAATCGATCAGGAGGTGGCATGTGGCGGGGTAAAGTGTGGGTAGCGCCACCTCTTCCAAGGCCAGTGTAGAAGATTAGGGAAAATAACCTGGAGACTAATCTAGAGCAGCCCTTCTGCTGCCATTGTCATGAGCAAGACATTTCATGGCTGCATCTTTACCTTTATATATATAAAAAAACAATTTATCAGCGTGTGTTCGAGGGTGCATCTCTGCTTGTGCCTCTCCAGCCCCATAGCATCAGCAGGAGGTTGGAGGAGGCCGACATTATTACAGTGTCATAATGACTGTGTCCCACAAGCTTGAATGACTGCTCACACATACATACATACACATGCTGACTGATTTTCTTCAGTATCCTTTTGATTTGCACGCCTCATTTGATGTGCAAACCGTATTGGTTGGGAGGAGGCTGGTCAAAACGCAAAATTTAGCACAATTAAACGATGGCGGCTGCATCCGTTCCTTGTGTACGCAGCGGGTGAGAGCCAAAGCAGAATTCACGGGAGACAAAACAAACTCATACCGTTACTCATTCTGTTCAGCATTTATCATTTGTTTAGAGTTTGTTCAACACTGTGTCGTGTGCCGGGTCTGAGGCTCACTGCTATCACTGGTGCCACGCCCGTACCGGGTCTGAAGCTCACTGCTACCACTGGTGCCACGCCCCGCTGCCTCCCCTTCCTTGCACATCTGTAGCCATCCTACTGGCGTCACGCGAGGTGTCAAGAAGCCGGCGCCTCCGGCAGCTGCTGGAGCTGGTGCTGGCGCTGGGGAACTACATGAACAAGGGCCAGCGAGGCAACGCCTACGGATTCAAGATTTCGAGCCTCAACAAGATCGCCGACACCAAGTCCAGCACCGACAAGTGAGCACTCCCGAGCCTTCGGTACCGTAACAAAATATACAGGGTGGTCCACGTACAGATGCTCCACTCATTTCCAATGTGACTTGTAAAGTTCTAATCGGCATGTGAATTTGATATTGTGAGAGCGATGGCTTTGTGTCTCGCATAGGGGAGTGCCCAAAAAATGTAATTGGTGCATTGCGATTGCTGGGAGACGTGCAGAGGCATTAAAATGAAGTGTTGATTTCTCTATAATCTTTTCCATATTCCTTTCGTGGGATATCAATGAATGGATCACCCTGTATAATAATTATAATTAATGCTGATTTAAAGCTTTCGTGACTGCAGGGATACATATTCTTGGTTCTGTCGGTAAAGTCACGTAGAAGAGAAACAATAAAATAATACAAATATAAAATTAAAAAAATTCTCACGACGTTTCGACTGCAACACAAGCAATCTTCATCAGGTGTGCTGTGGTTTTCACACCTGATGATGATTGCTTGTGTTGCAGTCGAAACGTCGTGAGAATTTTGTTTCATATTTTTTTTATTTTATTGTTTCCCTTCTACGTGACTTTACCGAAAGTACCAAGAATATATAATAATGCTCTTTATTGGTTTATAAAATCCTCACCGAGTCTTAATTATTACTTTCAGGAGAGTCCTGTATTGGTAAGTTTGGCCAATTTCTTAATAAAGCGTTGGACGTCTTTGTGGGAGGAAGCTAGAGTACCTGGGGAAAATTCACCACGCATATGAGGGTCTAAACACTTCTGGCCACCTTGTAGCCCGAGCCTGTGACTACTGGCATTCCCAGGCTGTATCCTATACCAGTACTAACCAGGCTCAAAATCCCTGCTTAGCTTCCGAGATCTGTCGCGGTCGATCGCATTCAGGGTGATTTGGCCTCTCTTAGTTGAACTCTCTTAGTTGAACTCTTTAATGAAACACTGGTTATCCTGTACATTTCTACTTCAGCTTCTTTCAACTTCTAACTGTATAAGCAATTTACCTAAAATGGTATCCTCATGTTAGAAAAATGTGCACTTCACATGATCAAAGCTTTAGACCACATGAAAAAAACCCCGCCCTACTTCTCCAAACATGGACCCTGAAGGTTTGCCAGGCGCCAAGCATGGCTCACTTCATCTGACACGAATTTCCATTGCTGGCTGCTTGGGTCCCCGCATAGGCCTACATGAGTCTGAAAGAGTAAACAATAAGATTAACAATGCATCAATTCATGTTACCTCTCCGTCAGCCTCGGCTGACATGCTCATACCGCCCGAGCCAGTGTTTTGTGGAACGTACTTATGCCTCTTCTAATGATGCTATTTGTCTGAGCGAGTTTATGCCTCGGCGTTGATGCTTGTATTGAATTTCCCTCCGGTGGCTAAGAAAGCTGGGTGATGAGCGTGTCGGGGCAAGGGGAGACATTGCTATTATTGCGAGCTAGGTTTGGTGAAAATTTATGAACGTGAAATAAAAGAGAGATCCATTGTACGTGTGAGTACGCGCGTAATGCTTGGCTGTTAAACAGATTCATGGGTTTCATGTCCCTCTATTTATGAATGTTACATTAAGTTAAATTAGGTGTCGTGTTTTGTAGTAAATGAAATTTATACACGTTTCATTTCTTGTTCCACTTTGGGTTTACTTGGTTCCAAGAAGAGAGAGCTACATTTTTATATTTTTACTATCACCTAATATCTGATGGCAGATTTAAGTTTGTCAGTTTGCATATTTCCATATGGCATTGTCAATCCTGTTCTGAGCAGGGTCTTCCATTGTAAACAGAGGCTGAAAATTACAACTCAACTGAAATATTTGATGTCGGTAATTTAATAAGTCTGTAAAGCCTTTAAGCATTGCCAACAAATATTGTGTGAGACAAAGAGTCGGTTGCCGTAATATAGTACAGTTTGCTTGAATAAAGGGAAAAAAAGTGACTTTTATTACACTTTATTTCTCATCTGGCAGCAAAGGGCATTCAAATCGTCTCGTGAAATCCGAGTGGGTTTCATGCGCCGCCGATGCTCAATCCGCACTCTTCAGTGCATCGACCTTTCACATCAAAGGTGGTGGTGGTGGCGGCGGCAGCGGCACCCACGTGACCCCCCCCACCCCACTGTGTGTGGCAGGAACATCAACCTGCTGCACTACCTCATCATCGTGGTGGAGAAGAAGTTCCCGGACGTGCTGGGCATATCTGATGACCTGCAGCACGTGCCCGAGGCCGCCAAAGTCAAGTGAGTCGCCACGTGGTCACGGACCATGCTGCGTTTGTGTAGTCGCTCAACGCTGCTGCAGCGTGTTACGTCGCTTAAACGGGGTAGTGGGCGGGAGGAGGGTGGCATACACAAGCTCAGGGGGAGGGAACAACCCCATCAATGTTGGCGGCGGTTCATCACATGGCTGCCTTCCCCCACTTGCCTGTGGTTCCTTGCAGCATCTTTGAGTCGTTCTTTCTCTACGAGAATGAGCGAACAAGTCTGACTGAAACGTTCAACAATGTTTAAACGAACATTAAATGCTCAGCATAATGAGTGATGATATTGATCTGCTTTTGTTTGTGACGCATTCTGCCCTGGCTCTCGCCCCGTGCGTATATGGTGAAACGCTACGACGCACATCTCTTCGTTGTACGAATATTTTGTGCAACCACTTTTTGACTTGATTATAAGAATTCAGCAGGGGGCTGAGACTTCTGCATGGGGGTTGGGTGGGAGGTGTGGGGGGGGGGCAGTTCCCCCAGACGCTCTGTAGATGCTTGGCCCCCACCAGAGTCCCACACAGATGTTGGTCTCACGTCAGTTGCCTGTCTTCCACAGCCTGACGGAGATGGAGAAGGAGATCAACAACATCAAGATTGGGCTGAAAGCTGTGGAAGCTGTAAGTGTGTCACAAGTAAAAGGGTTAATATTTTATTGTTGCAGAGATATTTAATAATTGTGTGACATCCGGAATGGACCCTGCCTCATCGTAACAGAAATGCTACATAAGCTGGAATTATTTTGCTCCAGTTCAATATCCCGGTGCTGCAGTTGAAACAAAGTATCTTGCATCCCCTCACCTGTTCACCGAGCAGTATGAATGGGTACACCAAAGTTAGTCGATAAACAGGTCGTGTGTGGTGGGGTAAAGTGTGGGGGCTCCCCACCTATTCCAAGATTTGTGAAAGAGTAGGCTACAGTACCACCGAGCGTGGCAATTCAGAGCTCTCGCGTGGAGGCATTTCTGCTGGCAGTGGCTCGAGTGAAAAAATTGCAGGGCTGCATCTTTACCTTTTACCGAGTGTGAATCATGCACACGACTCTTAAGATGTGTGCATCAGTAGAATGTAGTTTTTTCAATTAGAGGGCACTTAGCAAGCACCGTATTGTCACATCATCATTCGTAAGTGTATATAATCAATATTAATCTGCTCCATATACTCTATTTTTACTTTAATGGGTCACTATTTAGTTTGGTCTGTGCTAGGTCTACAGGTACATCGCTACCACCAATGTGAATCCTTACTAAACATGCATCCACCGAATCGGTCCTCCCATAATGCCTTTGCATGTTGCGTGACATCACTACACTATGTGTATAATTCCTATGGCCTTGTTTTAAACCACCAACTTAAAATAGCCAATATTATGACTGTGTAAATCCAATTTTGTGCATATTATTGCTCTCATTTGTTTTCAGCCTCCACGTAGTTTTCTGTCTGGCAAATTTCTCATCATTTACAGAAAGCATTGGAATCGGTTTTTTTGCATGAATCCTGCTGTATGCCCCGTTTGGAGACAGTGCAGCCAGACTGTATGAAGTCATCTCCGCATGGCTTACGACCCGTGGTGGCACTTTGCATAAAGTAACTAAGCAATAATGTAGGCGCCCATGCAGCTCGTGGGGCCTCTGATTAATAAAAAAAGGTTAATAAAATATCAGCTCTAGCTCCAGATCATATTAAAATTACTTTAATTGTAAACAATCGACTACCTTAATTGTGTCAAACAACTGTGATATAAATAAGTAATATAGCCTGCCCAGCGTGTCTCACCCAAATATAATTTGTGGGCTTGCAACACCACTGACAACAATAACAACGTTTTACACAGTACCCCCTGCGAGGCTCACATTGAAATCTCGCTGTGAACTATTTTATTTAACATCCCGTGTGTCTCTCCCGCCTCTGCGCGGGTGTGCACAGGAGCTGGAGTTCCAACGGACGCACGCCTCGGCCATCGGCGATCGCTTCATCTCCGTCATGAGCGACTTCATCACTGTGGCAAGCTTCAGCTTCTCTGAGCTGGAGGATTTGCTGAGTGAGGCCAAGGAGAAGGTAAGATCAGCGCAGACTCTGCCATTCCCCTTTCCTTCCTCCCATTTCCCTGACTCACATTGTCATCCATATTTCACCGCTTATTGATGATGATCGAACCACCACTGGGTTGAAAGCCTCCCAAAATCGTCACATAAGTCCCTGCTCTGATCTACCAATGACCTCGAATATATTCATTGAGAAATGAAGCCCTCCATCTATTAATTTAAAGAAAGAAGGATGAAGAATGTGGTTGATGGGTCGTTCATGATCATCATCATCATCCATGACCAATGCACTGCTGGATGAAGGCCTCCCCAAGTCATAGCCATTTCCCACTATCTCACAATCAAACAATCCCCATCTAGCTCCTGCACACGAGCCGGTTTCATAGCCCCGTCTCCACAATGTGCATCTTCATGCGTCTTTGTCATTAGCTCCTTCATCTTCATAATCTCCAACTCCTAAACCTCCTTACTTCCTCGTGATGACAACCACATTCCTTTCTCGCACTCTTACCATCTACCCAGGCTGCAGAGGGTTAATGATTTTGCTCGGGAGGCAAATGTATCTTGTTTAAAGTCTTTTTTATTCTTAGTTTTGGATATTGCTCTTTCGGCAGCCGCTAATATCTGTTGCCACATCAGATTTATGATACATTTAGACATTCGTGGATATACTTGGTGAGATGAAATTTCTATACAGTAACTTTTCTTAGAATGTATTTACTGTCTTGGTTTTCAAGGAACTAAAAAATGCGGCTCGTAAAAGAAGGAACGTGGCCAAGCAAATAGTTAAAGAAAAAAATTAAATATAGCACGGATTAGCAAATGGGCCCGACTTCAGCAGCCAACAGCTGCAAAATCTAAAAACAAATCCTAACAGAGAAGACAGCGAGACCTCTTCACCGGACACGGGAAACACAACATCACCCCCTCCTACTACCAATGTTGGCCTTTTCACGCCGTACACCAGCCGGGCAGCGCCCCGTGCACTCCCGGTCACTCTGCGGCTCAGCAGAAACCGCTTGCCAAAAAGCCTGTGTCTGGATATAGCATAAACATGTATGTTTTTATGATGGTAATATATAATTAGTTTGATTATCATGATGCACGACTGTTGTTGTTTTCATTTTTTGTCTTTGGGATGTGGGCATCGCAGGTAGGTGAGCATTTAATAGCCTTCCCTTTTGTTGTCAGGTTATGACTTCCCAGTGCCTGCCAATGGTCTTCCCAAATGTCTTTAATTCCTTACGTTTCATTCACTGCTTCTGTCCATTTGTGGCTTCCAAATTCATTGATTTCATCTCGAGATCTCTTTTGCTGACTTTCTTTGCTTCTTTTGCCGCTTGTCAGTATCCACTCTGGAGTTAATTTTGTCCATCGCTTGCAAGACTGCGTAATCATTTGTGAGTCAGCATTCCCAGGGTTACATTTTACAGTATGATTTAATGACTAGGGGTTAGATTTGTGGATTTCCAAAATTGCTTGTCTGCTTGTATAAAAAAATGTGGGTTTATTTTCGTCCTTATTTACGCGTTGTGGATATTTAATCGTGATAAAATACTTTTACAGCAATAAAATGCGAGAAGACACTTTTAAAACTGCTTTTTGGTGAAACATTCTCAAGAGCCACAGCCAAATTTGTACTGCAACTTGTAGTGCATTTGGGCAGTGATGTAGCCCAGCGGTAGAGCGTTCGCCACTTGTTGCAGAGGTTTGCGGTTTAAATACAGCAGCCATCCTGAATATTACCGTAATGATAAAATATGCACTGTTTCCTTCACAGTGGACGTTTCAGATCCCATGATAATATTCGCCAGAGTGGGCCATTGTGTGGTTGTCAGGGTCTAACATTTTCCAAAATGAGAAAATTACTCGCAAATTACTCCATTGAGATTACAGATAGCATCTTCTTTGGTTCTTTCGGTAAAGTCACGTAGAATGAGAATAAAATAATAAGATAGCAATTATCTCCCACCTACCGGCAGACGAATGCTCCAGGTCACTCTTGCAAATGGTCACACTCATGCCCCATACCAGCCTGGTCTCATGCATTATCATGACATAATTGCATTATCATGGGACAATGCAAATGTTAACCAACGTAACAAAAAATATTCGTACAGTGTTTGGATTTTGGCCGCATGTAAACTTCCCAAAGGCCCTTTACTTAATGGGTCACATGGGTTGGTCAGTGAGTAATAGTTTTTGTTTAGGTTGTGAGTTAAAGTTAGCTGCTTGATTCCGTCTTGAGTTGGCACTTAGGGTGGCTTGTGAGATACACCGTTCTTGTTGTGTGGGTAATTGTAAAGGTGCAGTTCTGAAATAGCTCAGCTTGCGCCACTGGCTGGCAGAAGCACCTCGACCAGAGAGAGCTCTGTAGAGCCTCAATGGAAGAGTCATTCTCCCGGTTCTGTCTTCAGTTCAACAAGTCGGTGTCACACTTTGGAGAGGAAGGAGGGCGCACGCAGCCCGAGGAGTTCTTCGGAATGTTCGACGCGTTCCTCTCGGCGTTTGGCGACTCCCGGCTGGAGCTGGAGGCCATGCGGCGTCGCAAGGAGGAGGAGGAGCGGCGCGCACGCGTGGAGGCACAGGTAGCATCGTGCCACACACACACACCCACCGCCCTGCGCAGTCAGATACACGCCTCTCGCTCGCTCACAAATATCCCCCGTGTAGCCTGAAAACAGATTCTTGGGGAAAGTTCTGATAGGGAGCACCCGTTTAAGATGGTACGTTGCGTTACGGGGTATTGTGGCCAGCAACACACCCGCCCGCCTTTGTCTCCCCAGTGCTGATGTTTACATACTGCACCAGGTACATATTTATGGTTAAGTTGACCTAGTAGAGGCCCACGACCGGTTCGGATAATCGCCATTGATGTTAGCCGTCGCTGGGACTTGTATTCAAGTTTGTAGTGCAGTGTGCTACCACACTTTAACTCAAACAAACAAAGACATATACACACACAACACACACGTGTTCATGGAAATGTATCGCGCATGGACAGCATTAATGGGTTTTTGAAGGTAATTAACGTTATGATCCATATATTTTTTTCAAGGTGAAAGTGCAGTCCTGAAATTATTTGCAACATGCTCACGTCACTGCTGGCAGAAGAGCCTTCACTGGAGGGGTCTGTAGAGGGTATTCTTCAATGGTCCCCCACCCCTTCCAGATGCCCTGGAAGGGGTGGGAGTATGTACGTTTTTACCCCACCACATGTGACTTGATGATTGTATACTGTGGGATAGGTAAGGAATCGAGTAATTTAATTAAAGCTGTTGGCACTGAAGACTTCCCTACAGGCCATTGTCCACAGGGCTCACCCGCGCGTTGCGTGCGTTCGCTTGCAGCTGAAGGAGCAGCGTGAGCGGGAGCGGAGAGCCAAGAAAGCGCGGCAGGGCTCAACTGAGGAGGGCGGCGAGTTCGACGACCTGGTGTCGGCCTTGCGCTCCGGCGAGGTCTTCGACAAGGACCTCTCCAAGCTGAAGCGCAACCGCAAGCGCTCGGGGAACATCCTTCTGGATGCAAGCAGGGAGAGGCCTTTGGCCAAGCTCAGCTAAAGCTTGCTGCTAAGCTGGAGTGAGGCGGTGAATGTTATGGGCGGGATGAGCAAACAAAGGAAGCCTGCTGGCTTTAGCAGATTGACAAGGTGGGGGGCATGAGTGAACTGGAGGTTGAAGAGTGGATAAATAACTTTTCGATGTAAAGAATGAACCTGCAAGTCTGCCCAAGGCTGGCCTTTGAAATGATTGCAAGAGAATCCCTGGAAACAGCAGCCAGGGATGATTTTTGAAATGAGAACTGAAGAAGAAGCTGCAGGAAGGAATGGCCCCATTGCTGTCTAATGTAATCACCACCCTTTACCAATTCCTCTCACCCACCCTTCCAACTCAAGGTGATGGATGGTTGGACGCTGGACATATATGACCATGCTGCAGAAAAAGATCTTCAAAAAAGACACTTGAAAATTGATGGGAGGATATTGGCCGGCAGTATTTGCAACACAAACAATGAGCACAAAGATACTGTTGTACATCACTGCCTTTCAACGACACCCCGCTAACGCAAGTCTCATTATATGCATGAGCTCAGCCAAGACATTTCGCCAAATCCAATAGCCATTTGTGTAGCTTTGTACGTAAAGAAACCAGCGCCACGGTCTTCATCTGATAAGAGACTTGATCTGTTTAAACTGGGCAAGTACGACGACTCCCGAAGCAACAAAAAGCAAGATCGGATTTGCACGCATAAATAAATAAATTACAATAGAACGTTCCTCAAGTTTGTGGGCAAAATTCAAGCTTCATTTCCAAAAGGTTGCCAGCACGTCAGTCTGCATCAGGAAGGTTGCTCTTCACTGGTCCCACTGTCGACCACAGGACACTGTTAGCATTAATTAATTTTGGAAGCAAATTGACCCTCACTGTAAGGAGTCAAGTGTTTTCATTTAAGTCATCGCCACTTTATTACATTTTACACCAAAGAACTTTTGCAAAGATCAGTGTATTGGAAGTAAGCGTACAGTAGTTGAATTGACAATGTTATGTTCTCTATGAAAAATAATATTTATCTGCTAAAAGTATTTTAAGAGCTAAAGCATTAGAAGGATAACACTTATTTAAAAAGTGTGAAAGCCATGAAGAGAAGCCTTTGCACAAGGCCTCAACAAAACTGTTGGTTAACTCCATTTCACATGGGGCACATGCTTTTTTGTCTGTTACATTTCCATAAATGAGCAGGTGCATCCAGAGGTAATTGCTGTTTCTCAATCAAGAAAGGTGGTGTGTAAACATTTTCATTTGATAACAAGATATTCACAAACATGTGCTATGACAAGGGCTAGAATGTGCATACCTCCAGCACTGAATGGAGTATTGTTGGCAGCAATGCTGTAAGATTTACATTGTTTTTCTCCTGGTGCACAGGAGATTATATTTTAAATTTCAAACCCAGATTGCAAATGGACTTTGGTGTTGTGGAACCAATTCCACAACAAGTGGGTCAAGAGTAGCCTATTCAGGTGTCTGTGCCATGTCTGCTTTCTTGGGGAAAAATACATCTGACATAAAACAATAAAAAGCATCACTTGGCTTGAGGAATATGCTCTAGCCAGTCTTGGATGCAAGGCTGGGATCCAAGACACTGAGGTCGAGCCCGAAAGCCACAAGGCCGAGGTCAAGGCCAGGAGCCTTTTAAGTTGAGGCTGGTATCAAGGCCAGATCCTCTTGGCGGAGGCGAGTGTCAAGGCCGCTGCCTCTACACGACAAGTCCTGGAACCGAGGCCACACCACCGAGGCCAAGGTCAAAGATGAGAGCAGAGGAAATGTCCTCGAGCTGGCCTCGATTGGTCTCGAGAACCAAAGGCTGGCTCAAGTGCATTCCGATTGCTGTGTTTCGCTTGAGGCCAACAATCTCCTCCTGTTGACAGTGACACCATTGCACAGATGTTTTTTTTCCACTTCACTCGTTTGGGCTGCACAGCAACATTGCTCCACCGCTCACTCATCTCGCACCTCAGGATTCGAGAAGCCTGGAAATCTGTTTCTAGAGTAATAATAAATACTGTCAAATTAATGTTCTAAAGGTACTGGATTTACCTGAGCTAAAGTGCACTCTTAAGAAGGATTTTTTTTCTTTAAAGTTTGTATGTAAAGTGCGTGAATCTCAATTTATTTTAAATTTTTGTATAATCAGTACATTTAGAACACACGTTGAAATAGTTTTTATTTTTTCAACATAATTTGTATGTTTGAGTATATATTTTTCTGCAGCGATGTCAACATTCTCGATATAAAGATGTTTTCCTTAAGCATTGTAGTGGAAGCATGTATAGTGGTAGTTGGTGAGCGTGGACTAGCCTAATGGTGCCTTTTGTGTCACTGTGTATACACATAGCCAAACGCACGCACGCACTGCACGCACGCACACACTGAACGCACAACGGAGAATTCAGGAATAGTAAGTGCCTGTCCTCGTTAAACGACCACCAAATTTACAATTATTGATTGCAACACAACTTAGCAGGAGGCAAAAAAAATACCATGGTGGCAACAAACATTTGGAAAATTACAGCATCTAAAATATACATCGGCAAACGGTGAACAAAAAACACGACGTTCAATTTATGATTGTCATAACTCACGTAAATAATGGTCTTAATAGAAATGGCACAAGGGATGCTTTCAGGCGTGCCCTCGTCTCCGCCGAAAGGGTGCTTTGACTTCCTGAAAGCCTGCGCATGTGTTCCTGTTTTCATTTCATTAAGGGCAGTGACATATGCCGCAGAAGAAGAACGTGATTGAATTTTGCGTTAACTCCGTGTCGAGCTGGCTCGGCCGACAGAATGCGAGCATGTGCAGAATGATAACGATCTCTGTCCAATATCTTGTATTCATCTTTCCAACCACAGCACTTACAACACGGTGCCATATGCGTGTTGTGTGCTTAGCACGCTTTTTCATGTTGGATCAAGGAGATGCTTCTTTGCCAAATAGTAATTTAGCATTTTCACTCGCAGTGAAAGCTATGGCCAGTTATTTGCAGTTTAACTTTCAAAATAATGCCTTCGAATCAATTATATATGTCATAACTACGAAATTCCTAAAATAAGTATATATTTGATATTCGGAGCATTGCATGAAACAAGAATGCAGACAACTCACATTTGCCAAAATGTGAAAGGCGTGTGAATTATTAAATTATATCCTTAATTTAGAAATGTTACTTAAATGCCGAGTTATGACAAGCTGTTTAAAATTGTGTTCATTATTGCATACTCGTTGGAAAGGTAACAATTCGACTCAATATTAAATGGATAAAATGTATTAACATAACTTGAAAATTCATGAGAAGATTTATAGGACTCGAAGACACGTCCAGTCGACAAGTTTCGTCTGTGTGCATTTTTTCTATACAGTTGTTATAATCAGTATTTAAAAACAAAATGTGTCGAATGAATTTCATCTTGTCTTCATGCTCAAATGGAAATATGCCATTTTGGTTGACTGGCTGTAGTCACAAGTAATAACATTTAAATAAGAACAGTATTACAATAATGACATAAACACGTAATCCTAATTGTGCACATATATGTAATGTATAGCAAAAATAATATCGTGACATTTCAAAGTCAGAAAGGAGTGTAACTTTCACAGGCCTGTGTCAGGTGTGGTGGATTTTTGTTTTACTAATAGCAAACGCTTCTTATTGCATCCAAAGATAATCATTTAAAAAAAACATTTAAACCATACGTGAGGTCTAAACATTCAAACAATTTCAGATCTCATAGGGACTGCATTTCCTCAAGCTAAATCAATCCCTGGACCTCATGATAACTTAAAGTCACAGTTCACACGTTATCCTTGTTAAAATTGCATCTTTTTCTTGGTGCTGACTGGAGAAATCAAAGTGCAAAGTCAAGATTTGGCTTTGTGCACTGCAGTCATGCATAAAGCAAAATGATCACAGTACGTGGGTATTGTTGATCCTGGGACATTTTGGTGGTAAAATTCACTCTTTTCTTCATTGACATTGATCTGTGCATGTGGCAATGTTTCACCCCCCACTGTGTTGACAGACTGTCATCTGCAGTGGCTCGGTCTACAGTGCACCACTTTTCAGTGCCAAGCCACCTTGAGTAAACACAGGCCTGAATGGTGCTCTGTTCATGCACAAGTTGAGCTTTCGGCTTATCCAGCACTTCAGGACACTCTCTACTTTCTTGCATAATTTTGTGATCTGACTGTGGGTAAATGTTGCTCAGCTGAGCGATTGTCGTAAAATTAGACCTGAGCGATCGTCGTAAAATTAGACCTTTTAACATTGGATACTGCAAGCTTCAGATAGTGCTGAGTTTTGGATAATCCTTGTTCTTATACAGTCCATGTGTATAGAGGACAACCCCACTCCTGGCATTGAGAAGAATGACTGCGGCGCTGCTGTTGGGCTGTCGTATTTCTACTTAATGTATGAAAATCCTAAAACCATGTGTTGTCCACGTTTTAGCTCAGAGGCGCGTTAAAGGGGCTCAAACTTGTCATAATAAGACCAAACTGCTGCAAGTAATGGATGCATCTATAAGCACACATTGTGAATAGCTTTGCGTTTTATCAGTTACATTTGCATGACACTTTGGACGTTAGGATTAATATGCTTGTTATTAAAGTGTTGTAGTCTACACAGAACAAAAAAGTGGCTTCCAGCCAGACTGGCTTTAGTGAAAGTCTGGTTTGAACAAAAAATGTTTGTAGCATTTTACCTTTGGTCAAAAAGGTTATTTAAATGTTACGCTTTTGACTTAAAATTATATATAAACTGCCTTTGCTCTGTATTTTACAAGTTTATTATCTAGCAAATTTTGATTTTCGTATTTGATCGCCTTTGTAAATATCACTCTGTTATTTAACGCACTTAAGGCACAGACGCCCTAAACTCCCGTCAGCTTAATAAAGCCCTTGTACACAATTCAACTCTGGCTGCCTTTGGTCACATTTTGTCCGAGCATTCACGAGGACTGCTCATCTCTTCAGTTCCGACGATCGTCAGTCACGTCGGGCAGCTGCTCAACCACCGCGAGGCTCTCGCCACATGGAAAACAACCTTGCACTCCATCCAAACGTGCGTTTCATGCCTTTCATTTTTCCCAACAATTTTCACGTGCTGCGTTTTTCTAACTTAATACAAAGCGCGTATAAACATAGTCCCACTAGGGCTCCATTTTTTGGGTCCACATGTGAAGCAAAACCGAGCCAGCTTGGACTGTAAAGCGCGCGCGCCGCAGGTGTGTCCAATATAGTTAATGTGAATGGTATGAAGAGCCATCAATCATTGCATTAACTGCATAGGAGGCACCCAATGTGGCCTCTTTGGTGAACCCACGCTGGGTCATTTTTGTGCCACGTGCAAACTGAAAACTGACCCCTCCCCCCTCCCTTACCATGAGTCGACTGCACTGAAATCCTTCCGTGTACAGTATTACCCTTTCATGAAGCATGCAGCTCCATACCTGCACAGCAGTGCCTGTAAGTGAGATGAGGGCATTTTGGTTGCTATCGAAAACCAGAAGACCATTGTGGACGTCTGATTTAAAAAAATCTGCCAAAATTGAAAGAATTCACTACGGCCCAGGCAAAGCCCCCCCCCCCATCCCCCTGTTGGTGACCCTCAAGCCAATAAAATTCAACATAGCTACGAGGAGATATGTTGTTATCTAATGAAAGCCGTCAATGACTTTGCACAGTGATAGTATTAATCAGGGCTGTTGCCGTGGTGTAATGGTTAGCACAGTCGACTTGCAATCGGTACCATTCATCTGGCGCGGGCAGTGGAAATGATGGTGCGAGTCACTTAAATAGCCCCACCTCTGTCCACCGAGAAGTGTAAATGGGCACACCACAGTTGATAAGCACTTTCCACCTCTTTCAAAACTGGCTGGTGTGGAAGTGTTCCCCCAAAAAAATATTCTCCAGAGGAGCTCTCTAGAAATCCGTCGAGTGAAGGCCCTTCTGCAATCAGTCGTATGAGCAAGCAAATACAGCCCCTGCACCTATACCTTTGCATTTTTACTTTAAATAAAAAAAATCAAGTTTACATCAAATGGATATGCTTATCCTGCATTGAGCATTTGAACAAATCATTATGACAACACATACTAAGCATTGCCATTGTTGGGTAGAGCACAATATATAAGCAGACAAAATATACCCTGGTTTTCTGTTGAACTAGGACGCATGTCTTGGGAGGGGGTCCTTGGCTCTGGCATCTGACATTCAAGCAGACCTGACGATTGGTGATACACTGTCAAAACTGGTCGTCAGTTTCCAGACAATGCTGCTGAAATTGCGTACTCCCAGAAGGCCTTGCGGTTTGCGGGAAGTGTATGAAATACCTGCATTTATTTGGAGGGACAGATATATGAAGGAGATATATAGTCCGGTTATTCATTATGAAAGACGCACAATGCACATGCTCTTCAATGAGCACGTTATAATTTCTTGATATGTGTGAATGTAATTCGAGGTCGTGCATTTTACTCGCATGTTGCCCTGCAACAGTGAGCTATCTAACTATTCTGATGCAGCAGCTGACTTGGTTATTACAAAATGTTATCGGAGCTTGTTAAAGCAGTGCAGACTTGGCACCGAAATCTTTCACCAAATGTTGCCACTTGCAGGTGTTGCATAATGGTTGTGGAATTTACCAACAAAGGAAACGACTTGATATTAATTGCTTAACCGGAATGCCCATCCAGGCAGTAATCTACCAATGTAGATAATATCTCCAAAACACTATTACAAAAATCATCATCAATCGCCATCAGCATCATGCCCGTTGTCTGCTTGGTAATTCGAATTCCTTTCTTGTTTGAATCTTCCACGTGTTTATATTTCATTTATTTGCCCCGAGCGTCAGTGATGTAAATATTTGAACAGACGGCGTGTGCGGGGTACAGTACATGAATGAGACTATTCACAGGCAGAGCTTTATTTGGCAATACCTTGGTCAATCTTGGCAGCTGTGCTTCAAAGTTCAACTTTAGGACAAGCGCAAATGCTCGTGTAGTTAAAATTGAGATGGAGTGCCCTGGAATGTCACTCCTGACCTTTAGCGGAGTCTGAACACCCTTCCAGGTTTTTCCAAATTAACCGTTGGCTAACAATATTTTCAGTGTTTATGACCCAGAATTTAGAACTTGTGTGGCATGAAACTGTCCTGGATGGGGCTGAGTCATCAATGTTGACTCACGGAGCTATGAAAAATGGAGCACAACAAATGTGTGATGAATAATTACTTAATTAAGAGAAAATTAGTCCTCAATGTTTTTTTTAACTGATTGTGTGAAACTGGTGCTTAAATAACAGTCTGAAAAGTTTGTATATATGCAGTTTCTAAATTCAACAAAGGTGTTGGCCCATAATTTTGTGCAAACTAATCTCGAGCAATGTTCGAGTATCCTCGCGCTTAAATTCATGAATACAGTTGGGGCCCCCCTGATGCTGCCAATAAATTCTGACAGATTCAGTGAAACATAATTGGGTAATTGTGTGTCCATTCATTCATCCTCACTACTAAACATATATAATTATATCTTAATGTCATAATTCAGTGGCTTCCAGGAATTTTTCTCACCTGCCTTAGAATTGTATCATTGCACTATTTCTGTCCACCGTTGTGAAGCACATGTCTTGAACTGGTAACAGATAAGCATGCAGCAAATCATTAAATACAATGCAGTGCTATTGTGCGAGTCAAATGGAAGGGAAATCCAGTCTGAACCAGATTTCAGCAAAGACAAAGAGAGGCCAGATATGCTGTTGATGTTTTATTTCTTACACGAGGGTGGCTTGAGCCCAACTGCGTTTGTCCTGTGTTCATGTTCGACTTTGAGCCTTGAGAGTGAGCATGCCACAAAAAAACGTCTTGTGCGTGAGCGCCGTGATCTTATTTTTGTCTCATTAATCATCAGTGCTCTCAGTTTACAGCGAAGGTCATCTGGCTGATGGTAAGCGCGTCCCTTCTGCTTTGCAGATATGAGTTTGTGCTTGTGATTGTTTTCTCATGTTCTCGATACAAATTTTAAAAGTAATTAGACTATATTTAAGAGATCGCACAATACTGGCAATTACTATATTTTTCTACATTGTCTTAAGATGTTCATGATTGGCAGCTCGCGTGCAAGAGCGAGTTGGATATTACACTGCAGGATCTCGAGCAGTGCTGGCAGCTTCATCCAGTAGTGGATAGATTATAGCTGCTGATGATGATCAACGATCTGAATTCGTTACTGTGGTGAGAACATTTCTAAATTAGCGAAAATTTTTCAAACTGCAAGACAGGTGTAAGCACAAATGAAAGTTCTGTTATGAAGCCATTTAGAGTTTCTCCCGGTGTGCTTGAGCGTATATGGAGGCGTTTGAGGTTTCACATTATCCACAGTAATTAAGCAGAACACACATGACCTTTAGACTCAGTGGGATTGCATGACTATGTTGCCCAGCAGTCACATGAAGACTGACCCAGCTGCCTCGACCAAATTACATCTATGCTTGCTTCAACTACTACTACTTCTTGCCTTTGGCTTTTCATAGCAACTCGTACGTCTTATGTCCAACCACAGCCTTGGGGGAAGCCATCTTCAATGCCTCTCCAATTTAGCCAGAGTTTACAATGGTTCATAGAGTTGTCCACAATATGATTAGGATTTATAACTTGCATGGCACTAGGCTTTCTCTGAGTTTCCATTTGAATTGGTGGTGGCCGCATCTACCATTGGTTCAGAGTATGCCACTGATTTTGAGGGAGGTCTAATCCAGAGGGTCCAACAGTTGGGTCACTTATGAGACATTTCTTGGAGGCGTCACTGTTTGTTTTCAGCTCTCGCCATATTTCTTTATAGCGTCAAACCCTGAAATGCTCAGGGCCTTACTTCAATTACAAACCTATGACCAAATTACCCTGATTGTGCTCGATCTCGGAAGTGAAGCAGAGGTGAGCTCGGTTATTTAAGAACGAAACAGGAGGACTTCTCCACAAATCTGGCTGTCGCCTGATGATGCTAGTTGTAATCACCGGCGAAACATCATACTCGAATTGTAAATGTTGTGGGTTTACTCTCCAATACACCGGTGTGCTGTACTAGGAACGAATTGTCATGTTTTGTTCGTGACAAACCTCACTAATTGGCGATCTCATCCCAAAATCCTGTTATGGACTTATTTGTATTTGGGTGGGAGACTGACGACGAATATTGTAGACTTTCGCTGAGAGGTGGTTAGAAGATGGCAGTAGCAAAATGGGTAGTTGTATTTATCTGTGCAGAGTTTTGAGTATTACATCCTGAAATGTGTGGATTATCTGGATACTCAACTCTTGAGACTTGGTTAGACTCTCCTGATCAAATGCTTTGCATTCCTATTCCTGCAGTGTATTGTATCATTCACTGACTTCCCATCACCAGGCAGCTTGAAGGAATAGTTTTTATTTTTATTTTCGAAGCTTGCCCCAACACTATGTACTTCATTGGGCTAAAATGCCAACTATAAGAATTCAAATATCTTATTCTTAGCTCTTTCGGTAAAGTCACGTTGAAGGGAAACAATAAAATAATAAAATATATAAAACAATAAAAATTCTTACGACGTTTCAACCATAACACAAACGGTCGTCATCAGGTGTGAAAAGCAACGGCAAGAAACATTTGAAAGAAGTGGCGGTCCGCATTTATTTATTTTTAGACGGTTTATTTACTTATTTTAAAAAAACGTTAGCGCCACGGGCAGCGATTTGGCACTTTGTTTAGAAGGACGAGTCCATCTATGTTCTGAAAAGAGGAGGGGAGAGACGAAAAATTAATGTATGCTGTCTGAAAGCCAATCAATTAAGACCTGAAATGGTTGATCAAATCCTTCCAATGATTGCTAAGCCAGAATCCATCTTCTCGGTTGAAATTGTCTCTGTGCTTGTATATGTG